ACAGTTGAGTCCGAAACATGATTTAAACAAACAAATTGAAGATCTCTCGAATTATCAACATTATTCATTCGCGGCCAGATGGAGTGTGCTGTGTTGAGGATGATGGAATATATTAATACACTTTATGCGGTTGAAGCTGCATTAAACTCAGCTTTATCTATGTTAAATGGGCATAGGCTTTTTCGTGTGGACCTTGGATTGTGAGTCGACTTTGTCTTTAATTTCTCATGAACATATGTAAGTTTTAATATCTCGCGCCATGCGTATCCTGTTGCCTTCGGCCTCGGCAACGGCAACGTTTTCTCTGAATAATATGGCATGCGTCCTTATCGCTTACTCGCAAGACTTCACACGGGGCGCAGAGAGCATATCAGACGCTGGCATGCTGCTAAACCAACAAGAGCAACAACAGGAACAACAAGCTGGAGTTAAAAAGCGGCAAAGCGCTAACAAAATGACGTAACAATTTACGGTAATCGAATTGTAATCGTAATCGTAATCGCATGCTTGCACGCTGCCACGCCCAACGAGCCAAGTAAAGGGCACAGTTTGACTCGAGCTAAAAATACACGCTAAAAACATGCTTTATATGAGCACACACATTAAGAACATTTTCTGAAATTACGAACTTTTCGAATATTTTGTGATTCTCTTTTTAATTTACACCATTATTATTGTAATTATAATTATAAAGTAAAGGTCATAGTTTGGTTTGAGTTTAAAGTACTCGCTAAAAACATGATTATCTTTTTAAATACATATTAAAACAAGTAAGAGGTTCTAGTCGGGAGCTCCCGACTAGGGGATACCCTGAACCCTCTTCTTCCAACATCAAATGAATATATATATTCTATTTTAGAAGCTATATGTCAAGTTTGGTGACTCTAGCTCTTATTATTTACCAAAATTGCCCAAAAAACAGGATATCGATATAGATTTTTATCGATTACTTGGAAACGGAGTAAGCTATCGATTATCGGAAACAAGCTCGATTTGCGCGGGAACTAGGAGCATCTACATTTAAAATTTCTCTTGCTCTTATAGGTTCTGAGATCCTTGCGTTCATATATATACGGACGGACGGACAGACAGACGGGCATGGCTAGATCGACTCGGCGATTGATGCTGATTAAGAATATATATACTTTATGAGGTCGGAGATGCTTCCTTCTGCCTGTTACATACATTTGGATTTGCACAAATACAATATACCCTTGTACCCATTTTTAATGGGTTCAGGGTATAAATATGAAACACACATTGAGCACATTTTCTGAAATTACGCAGCTTTCGAATATTTTGACGATATTTTTTTTAATTTAACATCGATATAATTGTAACTAAGTATAATTGTTGTTGTCAAAGAGTCAAAACGCCAATCTGCTGCGACATTTGGCATGTAATATACATATGTATATCTAAAGGAGCTAACTTAGAGTGAACCGTATATCCGTTTTCTTGAATGCTCAAATACTGTTCCTAAGCATATTGGTATGTACTTGTACAGATCTGGAACGTAGATTTGGATTTCGTTTATTAATACTTATTGGTGCGAAACAGGCAGCCAACATAACAGACGGTGGATCCGGCCTTGGACCAGGGACGCAAAACTTAATCTACCCCGAAGCTCACGCTCGGTAAAAGCGGAAAAGTTTTGCACAAACGCCGTTCACACGGCACGTGGCAAGAGCCGAGTCCAGAGCACAGCCTGGGCACGGGGCACAACTTCCTGCTGAGAGCCTTACTTTCATGTGTCTTATGTGTATTGAAATAATACTCATATTGGGCTGCTGGGTGCAGTGCTTCGTCTTCTCTGTTAATATTCGAATGAACGCCGAATGATAAAAGCATACGCACATTTGATCTAAATCTCAACAAATTAAAATTCCGAGTTTTACAAAAAGGGGTGCCTGCAACAAGACTAGCCTGCAGTTCGAAGAAGGGTGTGCTACACAAGGACATACTCTGGAGCAAGTCTGAACATTTTTGCCTTACTCAAATGCAAAGAGCTAAGTAGCTAACATATTTCCAATGTTTAGTTTCTTTCTTTTTAGTGAGACGGTTGGCATCATCCACATTAATATATCTATTTTCCCAAATTCGGAAATCCGTCGCTCTTCTTGGCTGACTGAACACTGAACGGTTGTCTAAGATTGTTAACAGAAATTATTTATCTTTTTCATTCAGCCGAATTTCAACTCATTTAAAAAAATGTATGAAAAAACAAGTAAGAGGTTCTAGTCGGGAGCTCCCTGAACACTCTTTTTCCAACATCGAATGCATATACATATATTCTATTTTAGAAGCTATATGTCAAGTTTAGTGACTCTAGAGCTTATTATTTACCAAAATTGCCCAAAAAACAGGATATCGATATCGATTTTTATCGATTGCTTGAAAACGGACTAAGTTATCGATTATAGCAAACCTACATCTAAAATTTCAAGTCTCTAGCTCTTATAGGTTCTGAAATCCTTGCGTTCATACATACGGACGGACGGACAGACAGAGATGCTTCCTTCTGCCTGTTACATACATTTGGATTTTGCACAAATACAATATACCCTTATACCCATTTTTAATGGGTTCAGGGTATAAAAACTTCCAGACGCACGGATTCTACAACACTTTTCAAATTTTTGTGAAGAAATCTCCGTAATTTAAGGACGACTTCAGATTCATAGCTATTAGGGGTTTATAAGCAATAATAAAAAACCGGTGAAGCTTTCTTCAATTGAATGGCAATTTCATTAGAGGGAGTATATTCTCTATGATCTCAATAAACATAAGTGTGGCATATGGATTTGTAATCAAAAAAAGTTTTCTTTTTGCCATAATGTTCTCCATACTATATTCAAAATGAAACTAAACGGAAACAGACAGCCAGGCAGACATTTATTTTTTGGTCAAGTTTGATTCCACATCCTAATTCCTCCTGCAAGGTGGTAAAAGGGGAAAATGTATCTATATTGTAAAAACGATTTTACCTAAAAGTCGTCACTATATTGATAAAAGTTGTCGTTGTCCCGGTCTCTGATATTTTTATCGGGCTGCACGGTGCCTATTTTGGAATCATTAAAGAAATCTAAACCAGAAGCGCTTGAATTGTGTATGATTTTGCCGCAAGAAAGTGTCAATTCAATGGGATTAAACGTTCTCGCCGCTTGCAGTAATTGCTATAACAATTTTGTAAACATTTTGTGCAAAAATTTAAATATGTGCCCTTGCTCTTAGATATGCATACATATATCCATTTCGCTCTAGCGGCAGAGTTCGATTGAACGCGCGCACGCATGCGAGAGCAAGACAAACGATAATCGACTCACCCAGCCTTCGTGTATGTGGGTGTGTCCGCGTCCGACCTAGCCGTCATTTTGAAAACAACCGCGCGCCCACGCCCAGAATCAGGAACAGAATCAGGAACAGGCTCCAGCAGCTCCATCCCGCCCATTCGTATTTGGCTACGTGTTGTGTTTGTGTTTGTGTTTGTCGGAACGGAAGCCGTGTGGGTAGTTAACGGAAGAGTCTAGCGGTTATTGTATCGGAATGAAACAATTCAATTGGGCGGCTGCAACTTACTCGCCCGTTCATTCGGGAAATTCAAATAGAATGCCAGTTTCCCAATCCAACATGCATACATGTGTATTCGTGAATGTATGTGTATGTGTATGTATGTTTATATTTTTATATCTCTATACATGTATGTATGCAGACACGAGCTATATATGCATATGGCCCATGTACATGCATGCATTTAGGTATCCACATAACACGCACAGAATGTAGAAGAGCATTACGAGTTTCGCGTATTGAAGGAGCAATTGGTTAATAAATGCAATCTGCCTCAAAACTGGGTTGTATTTTTTCATTTAAGTACCAATTTTGCCGTTCTGTTGCATATATACATCAATTTATAAAACTTATTTGTTCCGAGCAAACAATTATTCAATAAACAAAAATATCTTTGGAAAAATTAACAAGCCGTGGCTTGACCTTTTTGTATGTTGGTTGAAACACTCGTGCAACAAGCGGCGCAACTGCCCAAGCAGAGACAAAGGCCCAGGATCAGGGTAAGCCACGCAACATGCAAGCTTTGCTTGTATTGCTATACTGTGCACGCAGCTGTAATTTGCGAGCCGGGCGCGAGCGAGATAGATAGTTGACGAGCGAGCAGCCAATCATTGTAGCTGAATACGGCAGAAGTGAAGTGGATGGGCTGCGAGAGCCAATAAGAGGGCTGCCTATCCACCACGCTTCAAATTATCCCCATACGCTTGAACCTCAGGCAAAAGTCTGTAGCGTGCGATAGTCATATTGGCATTTGCATTCGCACTGTGGCTCGCGCATTTACTGTAACTACTTATTCCGACGGTCCGATCATGAGCTAAATATTTTACATCGGTTACGGTTTATTTAACTGGCATAGCTCCCTCTAAGTCTTAAAGGAGAATATGTAATGTGTGTAAATATATGAGAAGTTCACAAATGTTAATTTACATGAATTATTACTTTCGCAACCAAGAAAATAGTGAAATGTGTCAACCGAATCAGTGTACGGGTGCCCGGGATGGCTTAAAGCAAAGTTAACAACGTGATTTAATAACGAGTTCCTTGTATGACCTCTAAGCAAAGCAGGAGAGTGCAAAAAGAACAAGTGAACTAAAACAAAAGCCGTTGCTCACATAACAAAAACAAAAAAACAAAAAATACACACACAATATATATGGTAGTTGCATATGAGTCCTTATATAAAAAAAATCATCGCCATCTGTATGAATTTCCCTAAGGCTGGCTCAAGCCTGTGGTGGTAGCCCTGCGTGAAACATTGCCTCCTGCAGTGAATCCTGGGATTTTTATTAAATGGTCTTTGTTGACACTCAAATGACGAGTAGAGCGCATACTAACCCAAGTTTCTCACAAAACGCATGTACATAAATTAATACAACAAGCACAATACCGATTTCCATCGTAATCTGAATATCATCAACAACAAGAGCAACTTTTATTGTGTCATCAACTGTCTGGGGTTCGTTGACGTTCCCATCCAAGATCCAAGATCTCTGGGATCGCAAGTATCTTGTTAACCACAAAAACATATCTTTTAATTATGTTTACCCTGCAACCAACTCCGGCAGCTATAGGATCAGTGCCATGGTCGGCAGGAGCACTAATTGAACGATTGCCAACCTTGGATGATATGAATCATAAGGGTAAGCTGACCATATTGTGGATCAATTAAAATTAAGTCATTTAAATTTGCAAATTACAAATCCAAAAAACTAAAATTTCCAATTCTACACAAATATAACTATTATTTAATTGAAATATGGTATTGTTGCTTTTTATGCCCTTGTTTATTATAGTTAGTTGTATATATATGTATTGTGTTATGAAATATATACATAATAGAGAAGACATCTCTGACGCCATTAAGTATATTTATTCATCATGAGTATATATATATTCGCGTCGGTCTGTTTCAGTGCAAACTTGTCCCTTAGCTTAAAGCTATCGCCATGAATAGGTTCGTATTTCTGTTGCAGAAATAGATGTGTCGAAGTCGGCGGGCTCAGTATACTATATCATATAGCTGCTATAGGAACGATAGGAACCGAAACAGCTTCGGCCTAATATATCATATAAGGAGTTCTATATGTAGAATTGGTAGAAAAATAATATGTATATCGAAAACTTTTATTTTGTTTAATATTTAGAATACAGAATGCAGCTTTATTAATGAATATTTTAATTTATTTTCTTCGGCATGCCGAAATACAATTGGCTATGCATCCCAAGATATATAGGCATTTCCAGGCTTACAAAAGTAAATAAGAAAAAAGATTTTCTACCGAAGAAAATGTCTTTAATTGTTTATACCTTGAAATAGGTAAAAGAGGGTACAATGTTAAAGTGCCAATGCGTGTAACAGGCAGAAGGTAACATCTCCTGTTGATCTATCCGTTTATCCTTTTGTCCACCTGAAGACATTCGTCGATTTCGGAAACTACAACTAACGTACATAAGTATCCAATTAAAATCACCGAAAACCTTTGATTGCGGGTGTGGAATAAATATATGTATTTGGGAGAGCTCTACTACCCACAAAAAACAGGCTGCTTAGCGGATTACATTTTTCCCTTTTCCTCGAAAATTATCTGGTTAACTTTATATCTCTCATATCATAATTACATTTTTGCAATGACAATCATCATTTCACGATCATTTTAAAATATGTAAGCCCAGAGAAAAAGGGAATGAAACGTGAAAATATTCTGATAAACACGTGACGTATCGTACAAGCAAACGAAGCATGTTATATTTTCCGTCAGGTAATGGCCTTTTTTAGAAACAAGTAAGAGGTTCTAGTCGGGAGCTCCCGACTAGGGGATACCCTGAACCCTCTTCTTCCAACATCAAATGCATATATATATTCTATTTTAGAAGCTATATGTCAAGTTTGGTGAGTCTAGATATTATTATTTACCAAAATTACCCAAAAAACAGGATATCGATATCGATTTTTATCGATTGCTTGGAAACGGGGTAAGTTATCGATTATCGGAAACAAACTCGATCTGCGCGGGCACTAGGAGCACCTACATCTAAATTTCAAGTCTCTAGCTCTTATAGGTTCTAAGATCCTTGCGTTCATACATACGGAATGACGGACGGCTAGATCGACTCGGCTATTCATGCTGATCAAGAATATATATACTTTATGGGGTCGGAGATGCTTTCTTCTGCCTGTTACATACATTTGGATTTTGCACAAATACAATATACCCTCATTCCCATTTTTAATGGGTTCAGGGTATAAGAACAATAATATATAAATATGTAAAATTGGCTAAAACAGTATTTTGCAGACTCAAGTTTTTAGCAAAGGGAACAAATTAAAAAGAACCATCTCTACCAGCCCCCATTAGGAATATAATGTCATATATATTCTCGGTCAGTATCCAATGTTCGTCTGCCTGTCTACCAGCCCCCATTAGGAATATAATGTCATATATATTCTCGGTCAGTATCCAATGTTCGTCTGCCTGTTGGCTTCTATGTAAAAACAAGACTCTTGGGTGACAAGTATGCAACACACGTAGAATTTGGCTAGACCGAAACACTATATAGATCGAATGGGAGGAGGATCACACTAGATATAGAAACTGCTTTAATAAAAAAGCTGTTATGATTAATATTTTTTTATGTCCGTAAAGTCATGAAGTTATTTTTTATACCCTGAACCCATTAAAAATTGGTATAAGAGTATATTGTATTTGTGCGAAATCCAAATGTATGTAACAGGCAGAAGGAAGCATCTCCGACCCCATAAAGTATATATATTCTTGATCAACATTAATAGCCGAGTCGATCTAGCCATGTCCGTCTGTCTGTCCGTCCGTCCGTATGTATGAACGCAAGGATCTCAGAACCTATAAGAGCACGAGACTTGAAGTTTTAGATGTAGGTGCTCCTAGTTCCCGCGCAGATCGAGTTTGTTTCCGATAATCGATAACTTACTCCGTTTCCAAGCAATCGATAAAAATTGATATCGATATCCTGTTTTTTGGGCATCTTTGGTAAATAATAATAGCTAGAGTCATCAAACTTGACATATAGCTTCTAAAATAGTATATATATATGCATTTGATGTTGGAAGAAGAGGGTTCAGGGTATCCCCTAGTCGGGAGCTCCCGACTAGAACCTCTTACTTGTTAAATATATAATGTTTTACTAGCTTTACGAAGAAATCATTAATAATTAGATTCAACTCGATACAACAATAATCTTAAGCAAAAAATAAAATTCGAATATGGGCCTATAGGTAATAATGACCGGCAACAACAATAAATAAAACGAGCATGTTGTATGCATAGCTATTCCAATAACCTGCTGCTCTATCATCAGCAGACTTTACTACCGAAGGACTTGTCCTCAGTCTGAAGCTAGAACAACTTGTGAATTATAAGCTAGCAGGTTTTAGCCTACTCTTGTATGTTTACCCATGCGGCATATACTGTGTTTGCAAAAGCGTATCGCTACAACTAACAGTAGTTGCTTGGACATTATTTAATTATTTTGAACACCTGTTTAGACCTGTTCAAAGAGGTCAGTGGTCACATGTTCACTCTTCGTGATTATCACTTGTTGTTGTTCCAGGTCGTCAGGCTCAACAGTTAATGCTAAGCAGGTAGCTACAAAAATGTTACCATATTTGGATAAAAAAAAACACAGTAACAAATTTTTACCTTTAAATCGAATAACTAGCGCAGAAAGTCCATTAAGTGTTACCCACTTATGGCAACAGGCGCGCATAAGTATTTATTTGCTATGTTATTGTGTATATATAAATATGTTGGTGATTATTATTATTCGTTTGTTTTGCTCTTTTCTTATAGACAATGTTCTTGCTATGAGAAATCTGCCCTGTTTGGGCGTCGCTGGTGGCAGCGGACTGGGCGGTATTGGCGGAAAGGCTGCTGCAACTGCTGCGATGGAAGCCGCCGCGGATGCGACTACAGCACCACAGCCCCCACATTCGACATCTTCGTATTTTACCACCACTTACTACCACTTAACAGATGATGAATGTATGTCCTTGTTTCAAAGCTTGTCATCCTACTTTCATATTCCAAGATCTTGTAAACCATATTTCTTTATAACAGAAGCGTTTTTCTCCAAAAATAGTATTATTTAAACAAGAGGGCTCCTGCTTTTAGACTTTTAACTTTACCAAGCGCGAGGATACTATCACAAATATTCAACTCTCCTGTCCACAAAAACACACACACACACTCATTGATTTTGTTGTTACTCGTCCGGACTTTATGAATACAACAGGACAACGTGTTCAAAGAAAAATAAGTATTTAGATTTATTTACCAAATTAGGTATCTCATGCAAATGTTGGGACCTGCATCTGCAGGCGCAGGTCATAAACACACATTCTCTTTTGATCCCCTTCACGGGCTGGACAATTCCGGATACTGGCCCATAATACTGTAATTGTTTTTTGTTTCTATTGAAAAAGCAACATTTAAAATTATTCGTATTCACATTCCATAAATAATATATGGGTTTTTATTTTAAATTCTTTTTAACAAACTTATTATGGAACGCCAAGTCGCCAAACTTTTATTTTAGTTAGAAAAATGCATTTTACTCAGCTAAGAACAAATTATAATAATTAGAAATGGCGATTTTTAGTCAAATGTGAATTTCTTAAACAAGTGATATATTTTTTTATTGGACTGTAACTTATATTTTAATTTTCACATTTCAAAACCTGACGCCACATCTGGTTTTAAATCAAAACGTGGCTTCCTGGACATTTAATTGAATTATTCAAATTATGTGTCAAAATACGGAGAATTCAGACACATACACGCACACACACATACACACACACACACTCACACACATAATTAAGCTATTCGACTTAGGCACTTCACAGGGTAGCGGCTCCGTATGAGGAGTAGCTATCGGTCACTGCACCGATTTGTGAAAATGAGTAGAAATATTTGGCATTCGGTGTGAAAATTGAAAGACGTTGGTCTTCATTGATTTTTCCACTAATTGTTTTGTTAGCATTGTGTAGTGGATGACTTGGTCGAAGGTCTAGAGATGCAGCATAGCTGGCAATTATGGCAACATGGCAACAACCCCGTCAGAGTTGTCAAACTGAAAAACCCATGGCACGGCTGATCATTGCGGACAATGCCCGGGAGGGATCTGGCTACTAAGTCGAAGTAAAGACGTTTATTGGGCACAGGAGGGTATTGGGAATCGGCAAAGAACACATAGCCGGTCCGAGCTACTGTCCCCGTCTTATATGGTTCCGTCCCCATGCCGATCCTCGGTGCTCGGTCCCCGACCCGGTGCCCGTCCCTACCTGGCATTCGTCGCCCGCTGTGCTGATAAGTACTTTCTGTGATGTCCGTGCCATTGTTTGTTTGTGAATCAATACAATCATTTTCCACCTATAATGATATTGAAGAGTGTGTGTTCATTCGGCGACCGTTTCGTGTCATGTCGTTACAAATGAAAACAATTATCGACGTTGAAAGCCGAAGTCGAATCAAAAAACAAAAACGTCAGAATTTTGTTTTGTCTGTGTCTTTGTTCCTTCTGCTCGTGTCGAACATGGACAGACTACTTACTGCATATATATATATATATATATATATATATATTATATATACATTCCTCTCACTTTATTTATGTATCGTTGACTCTTTCGCTCAAGCATTCATCACACAAATGAGCCTCTTTAGCGGCACTAGGGTAACCGACGCACGTCCATTGTACGAAGTGGTTCCTAGTGGTTGTTTCTCCTCCCAGTCCCAGTCATCACGAGGATACGTTAGGTCTGGACCCGGGCACTGGTCCACAGCATTGTTTGCCGATTGATTTGTGTTGCAATTACATTGTTAATCCCATTTGCAAAGATGTTTTTGGCTATTGTCAGCCTTGTTGCATTTGGTAAATCATCACATTTGCTTGTGGCTCTTGTAACCCACATACAATACATACCATACATTCATATACACATACATAAATAAATAGTAGAAACTGGTCTCTGGGGTAACTAAGATTAGGCCATATTTACCTGAATTACAGTAGTTCAGTTCTATTCACAACAGCTGATTCTGACACATAGTCTGCATTCAAATTTCGATGTAAATATTAAATAAACAACATATATATAATTTGTATTAAAAATCATCTTTGATTTTAGCAATTAAAATGATGATAAATCTCGTGAATTTGTATCTTTTGTGTACAGTGCAGAGTACAATAAGAATATTGATATATATATATATATATATTTATATATATATATATATATAAATATATATATATATATATATTTATATATATATATATATATAAATATATATATATATATATAGTTATGCAATCGCTGTTATTAATTTAAAGCTGATTTAACTTTAATGGTCAAGATGCTCAACTAGCGCAAATGGTCTTCAAATTGAACGGTCGGGGTAACCTTTTATAGTGCTTTGACCTTCATCTCCAGGCATTAGATAACGGGGTAAAACTGGCAGGCGAGTTGCCGCTTCGCTGGCTTAAAGTTGGAATCAAATTGATACGCAGATTTGGGGATTATCCCACAATCAATACTAGGAAATTTGTTTCAAATCCATGCTCGACTTGACGAGTGCGACCTTTTTTCAAAATCTTTTTGGTTGAACGCTTAATTTTATTATCTTCTTTTTTGTTATGTATCATTTCTGCTTTTGTTTCAGTTCTTATCTGTGCATTGTCTAATAGTTAGAGCTCTTCAATCTCAAACAACCAAACTGGGTTGTTACCAAACAAAAGTTTGCGCGGACCTAGAAATGTACTCACTGCCCAACAGACCGTATTCATCTTGACACTTTAAGAGCGTGCCAAAACTAATTTTTGTCTAATGGAAAGTAAATCGTGTAGAAACTAAATTTGACTTTAAGTGGCAGGCAGGTGGATATATATATATATATATATATATATATATATGTATATATATATATATATATATGTATACATAAATTGGTTCTTTTTATACCCTGAACACATTAAAAATGGGTATAAGGGTATATTGTATTTGTGCAAAATCCAAATGTATGTAACAGGTAGAAGGAAGCATCTCCGACCCCATAAAGTATATATATTCTTGATCAGCATCAATAGCCGAGTCGATCTAGCATGTCCGTCTGTCTGTCCGTCCGTCCGTCCGTATGTATGAGCTAAAGGATCTCAGAACCTATAAGAGCTAGAGACTTGAAATTAGATGTAGATGCTCCTAGTTCCCGCGCAGATCGAGTTTGTTTCCGATAATCGATAACTCGACATCCTGTTTTTTTTTTAAGCAAATTGGGTAAATAATAAGAGCTAGGCCACCAAACATGATATGTTGCTTCTAGAATATTATAGATATTTCAAGTATCTTTCATTTCATACCTATCGTCACCTCCCCGCTACCACCCCAGAGCTATAAATCAAGTTAATAACCCAACTTTTATTGCCAATCAATTTAAACCACAATTTAAATGCAATTGATTTTTTCAGAATACACAAATATTCTATGGTACAGTAAGACATACTGTAGAGCATTTCATAAAGATCCGTTAAGAAAAACCAAAGTTATATGCAACTGCGCAATTGAATGGGGCAGCAGCTTTAAGAATTTCTGTAAACATGTACACACACACATTCATGCGCGTCTGCTTCGCATTCTAATAGCATGGTAATTGCTTCTTTTTTTGTAGTTCATTTTTTTATCATAATTACTTAATTGTTGGTGTGGCTGCTGAGTAGAGGCATAGCAAGTGGCGCGGTCTGTCGAGAGTTCGAGCCCTACCGGGGAAAGTATTATTATTTATTTATTTTTTTTTTGCTGGTGTGGCTGTTAAGTAGAGTCGACAGTAAGTAATGCGGTCAGTTGCAAATTCGAGCCCTGCTAAGGGAACTTATTTTTATTAATTTATTTGGTGTTGGAATAAGAGGGTTCAGGGTATCCCCTAGTCGGGAGCTCCCGACTAGAACCTCTTACTTGTTTTTAACAATATATTATATAAAACTTGATATATTGTTTCTAGAATATTATATATATATCAAGTATCTTTCATTTTATACCTATCGCTACCTCCCCGCTACCACCACAGAGCTATAAAGCAAGTTAATTATCCAACTTATATTGCCCAGCAACTTAAGTCACCATTTTAATGCAATTGACTTTTTAAGAATACACAAATATTCTATGGTACAATAAGATATACTGTAGAAAATCTCATTAAGATCGGTTAAGAAAAAACCAAAGTTATGTTTTACTACGCAATTGGATGGGGTGCAAAATTCAAGAGTTTCTCTATGCATGTAGACACACATACATGCGCGTCTGCATTACAATTACATATACCAAAAGCATTGCAATTGCGATTCTTTTCTGTGCTCCTATTTTAATTCGGTTCTTTCTCAATAATACTTAATTATTGGTGTGGCTGTTAAGTAGAGGCATAGCAGGTAATGCGGTCAGTTGCGAGTTTGAACCCTGCCAAGGGAACTTTTTTTTTTAAATATATCATTATTACTTCAAACAAGCGCGTTGCGCGAACTGCATTTAGTGTTGGAATAAGATGGTTCAGGGTATTCCCTAGTCGGGAACTCCCTACTAGAACCTCTTACTTGTTTTACGTTTGCTTAAGTTTCCGTACAAACACTTATTTAAATGTAATGCAGCAGGAAACACTATTTCAAATAGGAAAGTAAAGGAAAGGGCAACAAACCCAGCATACATAGCTATGAATACATACATGTAGTAGGCACACGGTATGCCTTAGTCGGGAACATTCGACTTAAACTTTATACAAATCAGTATATCGGTTGATTAACAATACAATATCTACATTGAACATTTCAGGTCACAGCGGGGTAAATCAATTGGGAGGAGTCTTTGTTGGAGGAAGACCATTACCTGACTCGACTCGCCAGAAAATCGTTGAGCTTGCTCACTCCGGAGCTCGACCATGTGATATTTCTCGGATCCTTCAAGTTTCCAACGGATGCGTTAGTAAAATTTTAGGCAGGTGAGTACCGTATACATGACTTTCACTAATTCCATTATTGTGCGCGAGATACAAATAAATTTGGGCTGGTAGGGATTGTATACTTACATATATATGTGTATATACAAAAATCTAAGCGTAAGGATGAATTAAGGATCTTAAGCTTTTAGATAGCGAAGCTTAGGAAAGTGCACCAGGCGAGGGAAGTTTTCCCAGATCTCACTTGGATCATGATTGGTCCATTGTGTTTTGGGGAGTTTATTGGGGACTTAGCTCCACTCCGAGGTACGGATCAAGCCTAGAATTCTTTTGGACCTTTGCTTGGGTTCAAAAGGAAATAGATAACAAGAAAACGGAATCTAGTTTTACTAGCTGGAAGAGTACAGAATAGCTGAGACGCTGTCTCTGCCCCTTCCTCATCGCGATAGCTTTTACAGAAGTAGTTAAAGGAGGCAAGGAGTCCGCCTCCCATCTAGTTCTCTAGCTTAGACTCGTCCGTATATATCCAAAAGGATTTGCTGGCCTGGAGGGGAATATGATTGTGGAAAGGGGTAGAACGATTCGGGTTGTAGCTCCGACAGGCTGCTGGTAAACTCTTAGGTAACTTATTGTTCACATATATACATATAGATCAATCTGTTATCTACTTGCTTCGGTTAGTGATATGTTTTAAATTGCATTAATGTTTTGCTTACAATTAATTCCAGATATTACGAAACAGGAAGTATTCGACCACGTGCGATTGGAGGCTCTAAGCCACGAGTAGCCACCGCAGAAGTCGTTAGCAAAATCTCGCAATACAAACGGGAATGCCCCAGCATATTTGCATGGGAAATTAGAGATAGATTATTGCAGGAGAACGTGTGCACAAATGACAACATACCAAGTGTAAGTTTATCTTAGATATGAAACCTAGATTCATAATATTATTGTATACTTAAACATCAAATATGGTCTATCTAGCTCATATACTATTTTTGTAATGTGTAAAGAAAATAATGTCTTAAAAACGAATTTAATAGATATCTGGGAAATGTGAAGTTTTGCATTTGGTATGCGCGAATGTATATATTTTAAATTTCAATGAATTTATGCAGACGAATCAAGAATATATATACTTTATCTGGGGTCGGACAAGCGTCCGTCGGTCTGTTAGATGGATTTTCAAAAAACATTATACCAATTTACAATTATACGATGGGTTGATAGTATAAAAACAAATGTTTGTAAGATGTCCCTCAGGCTAAACAATCAAAACTTAGTATAATAGTTTAGTTTATTTAATCCTGTCTCATTGTTATATTTTGATTTTATCTCTCTCATTGACTTATGAAAGTGCTTTAAGACTTTAGCTAAAATTGATGCCAAATTTCGAGTAATTTTTAATAATTTAAGCATCACATTATTATATGCCATTTTCTCCGCTATTTGAACTTTTCTTTTGTATTCTTGACGCCATTTTTTTTTCGCCTATTCTTTCATCTAGTTAGCATTACCATTTTTTATTGTTTATTAAGTATGCCAAAAAGGAAAGAAGCAAAGGAGCAAAATGAATTGTGACAGCGATGCCGATGGCCTGCGTTGTACTTTTCCTCATTGACAGTTGTGTGGAAAATGTGCGCATTCAAATGGAAGGGAAAATCTTTTATGCACATTAAACGACAAAAAGGGAAATCAGTGCTAGAAAAAGTATGAAAAACGTACAATATTAAATAAATACAACCCAGCCCGTCACCACAAAGCGTTAGGCGTTGAAATTCACGCGCGAGGGGAAATCACATTTTTCCTTTTATGCTGCCAAAAGAAATAGAAACTGAATCGACCGATTGGACGGGACCAGGATCCGGAACCCGGCTCGTAACAAAATCATTGAGGGGTGAAAGCGTAGTGTTTGCCAGTTACATGCTGCATGTTGCCGCATGCTCTAATTTGTTCCAAGAGTCCTGGGGCTTAACTATATGCCCACGACGGAAGACAGTATATGGCCGGCGCCAAAAAGTACAATAAAAAACAATTGAAGTTTTGTTTTGTTAATAACAACTATGTCGATTCGAAAAAACAACGGCTCACAAGTTATTTAATGAAATAAATGCTGTTAATAAACGTTCACGTTTCAATGTAACCCACCAAATATTTAACGTTTTATTTCGTTATCCGTTTGTGTTTTCCAAGGGACAGGCTCCTATTTTTTTTAGCTAATTGAACCCCCCATTCCGATTATCGTCAACTTACTCCGTTCAATCGATAAAAATCGATATCGATATCCGGTTTTTTGGGCAATTTTGGCAAATAATAAGAGCTAGAGTCACCAAACTTGACATATAGCTTCTAAAATAGAATATATATATGCATTTGATGTTGGAAGAAGAGGGTTCAGGGTATCCCCTAGTCGGGAGCTCCCGACTAGAACCTTTTACTTGCTTTATTTGAAGCGTTACAAGCCACCAAATAATGTTAGCCATACATATATGCACATTTTATGTGTGAGGATCTTCTGTTAGGTAAACATGTATGGAAACTGGCACTCAATCCCTTATGTACATTACTAGTTATGTACATTTACATATGGATACCTGACGTGGTAGGGATATTTAAACATAGGTACATATGAAGGGTACATATATATGCGCACAAATATATATATGTGCGACGCTTTCGGGGATGGCGTTCATTTTTATTTTTTCAAAAATAAGTTTTTATACAAGCGTTCGCTTTCGTTCCCCCGAAAGGACATTTCTGCCTAATTTTTCCACTCAACTGCACTTTTCCCTGTTGTTCTCACTCGCTCATTTATATGTTTCGAGCGTTTGTTATTTCTTTCGTTCGCTTTTGCTTTTGCTTTTGCTGTTGCCTTTTGAATTCATTTCAAAAGCGCTGTCATGCTCAGGCACTGCCTTAAAATAATAATAAGCAAATGCCCAACTAGGAGATTCCCTGCGAACCCCGCGCGGAGCTGCTGCACAAACATTCTAGCTTCCTTCTACACAAAGTCAAAAATACCCAGCTTACGCCCCACACCATCGAAAATGATTTCGTTTCCGATCTTAACGAAATTTGTAGGCCATACGTATGGCATCCACATGTGCTTAAATACCAAATTTGGGGTCTCTTGTGCTCTAAGATCTTGATCGATTTCGATGGAAAGTTATCGTTGAAAACTCCATCTGCAAAAACACTATGAGGACCTATGTTCAAAATTTGAAAACTCTAGCCCTTATGGTTTTCGAGATAGAAGCATTCAGACAGACTAACAGAAGATGACTCGGCTATTGATGCTGACCAACAATATATGTACTCGAAGTGCTCGGCGATGCTTCCTATGCCCAATATCCAATTTATACACATTTTCAATGGCTTCTGAATATAACAACACGACTAGGAAATATCCTTTAGCCAGGTTCCACTTGCCCTAGCAAAAAGTACTTCTACTGCATTTTATACATTACCTACCTAAAACAGGCATTTAATCACATACCCTGAAAAGAACATTACTTGAGCAGTGGCTCCAATTCCTCTGTATATTGTTGAATTGTAATAAATATTTTAATTTTTTTTAACTACTAGAAAATATAATTCCTATCTGTATATGCTATACTTGAACTTGATCTACTCGGTCTCTGTTGATGAGATTGTATTTACTTAATTATATCTATTATAATAGATTATATTATAAATTAACCTTTTTGGATTGTTGGTGATTTGTATACTTTAAGGTATCGTCAATAAACAGAGTACTGAGGAACTTAGCAGCACAAAAGGAGCAGCAAAATACTGGAACAAGCAGCTCCAATCCAAACCCAAACCCAAGCCATGCAGCAGCTAGCGGCAATGGCAGTAGCAATAATGGTAATAGTAGTAGTAATGGTAACAGCGTAAGTGGAGCGAGTGGGGTGGGACCGAGCTCCACAAACGATCTGATACAAACGGCGACACCTTTGAACTCATCGGAGAGTGGAGGTGCCAGCAATTCTGGCGAGGGCAGCGAGCAGGAGTCGATTTATGAGAAGATACGCATGCTGAACACTCAACAAGCTTCGACGCTGGATTCGGCTATATCAACCCCAGGGGCGCCTCCAGTCAGTCACGAGCAGCTCATGACGAGTGTGCCCAGCCACTTCAGTCCGCACCCCCATTCGAGCCACTCGATCCACACCCATGGCCATGGCCATCAACAGCAGCAGAGTTGGCCCACTCGCCATTATTCCACAGGGTCCTGGTATGCAGCTCCTCTGAATGGCAGCGAATTAGTTCCGTCTTCAGGTGTTATCTCTGTGACTGGCTATGGAAACGGTGGCCTGACCGCTGCTCCAGGTCTGGTTCCGGGACATCCGTTGACCCCACCAAGTGATCTCATCAATATTGGGGGCCCAAGCGCTCGTTTGGGCAACTGCACCATTTCCCCAGACGATGTAATGCTGAAAAAGGGTAAGTAGGACCGCCAATCATATAACATATGTTGATAAGATCAAAGGAAGTTTTTTACATATAGTAGAAGTGCGATCTTTCTATTTGTCGAATACTTGCTTATATAAAAGATCATATGGTGAACTAAATGATATTCATTAAATTTATTAAATTTGTATTGGAAGCCTTAAGAGACACAGAAGATAGATAGTTAATTGGATAATAATGTTCTAGACTAGACATACTAACTGGGAAATACCCTGTAAATCCATTGCTGTTGATGTAAATGTAGTTTGCAGGCCAAAAGTAATAGTATAGTGCAAAATATATTATAATTGAGACTGGAAATTGTTTTGAGAAAACTGTATTTATTTGATATGTATCTACTAGCGGGTATGGTACGTGGCACGTATAAAATAAATGTTCTCAAAAAGCTTTTGAAAATGATTTTGAAACTGATCAACAAACAACTTTCATACAAACATACGTGGAATTTCCCAAATCGCTGAAACATGTATTCATAAAGTTCTTATATAGAGATTGGAAAATAAGTTTGACGCAAATCGGACACTACTTAAAACTTCGCCCAGGAAATCTTTGAATCGCATTTCTACCGAAGGCGTTTCGATTATGCGAAAAATGTGAAACACGTCTCGAATGATTTTCCATATAGATCCTCGAATATGAATTTGAGGGCGAAACGTCATCCACCAATTCTCTGACCCCCATTTCCACCAAGGAGGAATACATTTTTGGAAAAGTGTGAAACAAAGATTTCTTAAATTGAGTTTGAGGCCGATAGGATGGTAAACAAAAAAGTTGCATACAAATGTTTCTCGCGATTTTTCCATACTTGCGGGTGGAATTTCCGGAAACCCCGTCTTAATGTGCACCTTCATCACATAAGTTAACCACAGTGAGAATTTCAGCTTCTTACCTCTTACGGTTTGGGCTGTGCGTTGATCACCAATCAGTCAGTCAGTCAGTCAGGACAAACAGTATTATATATATATTTCACTACGCAATATCTTTAAGTTTAGGGGAAGGTAGCATTCAACTTCGAGTAGAGACAACAGAACAGACAGTCTGGCAAGGCCAATCAAGCACTGGACGCTGGGTCACGTGCCTGTTCTATTTACGCACGCACGCCAGGTTTGCCCTTATCGAATTGTCGGCGATACAGACTGATACATAAAACACAATTACAGTGCTGAGGAGAAAGGTTAGCCATATCGGGGAGGCAAGCATGTAAAAAACACTAGTGAGCATTAACATAAGCGACATCCAAAAGATATTCTAAGTCAATCGTGCGTCTTTTGGGCAAAATTGATTCATGACGAAGGTTGCTCTTAAATACACCCTGTTCTCGTACAATGGGAAAACGAGTATATTGATTTGTTGAAATATATTTAGAAGTCTGTAAGAGGCATCTACAAGCCCATAATTATTCAAATTGTTGATCTACATTCAAAATTCAGTGGATCTATTGATATCCTACGGTCTGTCTGTAAGTCTTATGAGCGCATCTATCTCAGGGCTTAGAGCTAAAATAATATCTTTAAAAGCCTTTTTGGCAAATATTGCCTTTCGGCTGGCATAGAATTGCTATGAATTTCAAAGGATAAAGGTTATATGAGCAAAGTCCGATCGAATTTAAACTTATTTTCGAAGCTTTCTATGAAAAGTAAATGAAGACAATTTTCGAACTTTTGTAAATTTTTTTCCAGCCGATTAACTTTAATTGAAAATGGGTAAAAAAGGAATAATAGATTTGAGTACATTTGTGGTAGACAGAAGGAAGCACAAGGACAGCATTAAGTGCGTATACTCTTTGTCAGTAGTCAGCATCAATATCCGATTCGATTGGTTACGTCCGTCTGTCTTTATGTCTGAACACGTCGATCCAGGATCCTATAAGAACTAAAGACTGGAACATTGGTTCTCCTAGTTTTCGTACATTACGAATTTGCTTCAAATCATAGATAACTGGTTTAGTTTAAAATCGATATAGGTCGGTATTGAAATCCTTTTTTTTTTATTTTATATGAGTCAACACATGTGATAAGCATGTTCCTGACATCCATATTAATATTTAAAAAATACAAGTAAGAGTGCTCTAGTCGATGCGAATTGGTGGGTAGTTCCAATTAATTTATTTATTTGATTTATAACTATGGGGCTAGGCTAGAAGCATTGAAGCAGGATTTTCGCCATGAAATGGGATATTATAGAGTTTTAATTTAAAGTTTTAATTTAAGAACCGGTTAGGATCTGAGCATAAATCGAATATAATAAAAGCTGAAAGCATACACCAAGTTCGCTTGGCAGGTTCTCGCATAGTATACACAGATCCAAAAAGTATTCTGTATAGTTCTGTAAATGTATGTATGTATATATAAAAGGGGTTCTTGGAATGTGTGTGATGATCGCTCGGCTTTGGATATCAGCTAATCGGTCACTATTTGCCATTAGGTGCAGGGTATCAAAATTTGATAAATAGGTAGTTTAAATGCTTACAAATGTTTTTACATTCGCAGACATTTACCAAATATCTAATTAGCTTAACCACATACGCCCAAGTTTTGAAAACAAAATCTGTGCCCAAAGTTCGTCCGCGTGTTTGCCTTAACTGTTTGGGTGTGTCAGAAGAAGTAACTGTAACTGTAGCTCCGTATAATCCGCAGCCTCTGGCAACGGCAGCGGCAGCGGCAACGGGAATTGCTGTCGTGCTTGACAAGTTTACCCTTAACCGAGTAGTTGCTTTAATGCGATTTGCAGACTCATTTTACAGGCGATGACACTTCATTAAACGCCAAACCCGTGGGGGTGGCAGCGGTGACAGTGGTTGGGGGAATGCGGGCGGTGATATGGTTAGAGGGGGAGATGTGTTGATGGGGTGCATAAATAGAAAGCGAAAAATACATATTTATAAAATCGGTATCTGAAAAACCTCATGCTACACATTTTGGGCCTTATCTCGTTTGTCTCTAACGTATTTAACTGTGAAAGAGTGTCGCTCTGTCGCAACCTCCCCTGTCATCCAACTCCTCGGCCAACCGTCGTATCTTCTGCTTTCGAGGCTTTGTTGCTGTTACGGCTATCTTTATGCCTCGTTCCCCTTGCGCTTGTTGTTGGTTTTGTTGTTGTTTATGGTTGATTTTCGTTGTTGTTGCTGTTGTTGCCTGTCAGCACATTGCAATTTGCTAGGCAAGTGACGTGTGCTCTGGACTGGACCTAAGTCCGGACCTGCGGCATGTCTCAGAGCTATCAGCATCTATTTGCTCTGTCACATTCACTCACATTCAGTGCCAGTTACACAAACAAACGCACACACACACACACCTTTGCTATATCAAAAGCGACAAGCTGAGATCCAAATGTTGCGGTCACCGGTCTCTTAGATGTGGATGCTGATGTGGTTTGAAGCAGGACTTCATGTCGTATTAATGCTCTGATTTTCAGCCGATTCAGTACTGCTTAAAAACACATTATGTACATTATACATAGCACAGGTGAAATGTACATTCACATATGAGTATATATGTAAATGAAAAATATGCATGCTTCAGACTCAAAAATATTCTGTGTTAATTGTCCAATCTATGTCAATTTTTAAAGGTGCAAAAATTGTGCATGCAGTACAAGAATATGTAACTTCGAATATTAAATATTAAATACCAGTGCAAACATTTAATGAATTTTTAGTTACACAACGTACTCAACAAATAGATAAGAATAAGACATGTTATTCAAATACAACTTTAAACTGTATGAGCTGAAGGCATATTTCACTATTAAATCGAAAACTTCTTTGCATTTTAGCATTTAAATTTTTTGTCACAAAGTATTGTATTATCTAAAGGGGGGATTTTGTAGTCTAGTGCGTTATACTACAAAGTTCTTACTTATTTTATATATCTAACTAATATATATATATTTATATGTGTAGCAAGCCAAATATAAATAAAATACTATTATTAATACGATTATTGGCTTTTAGAGCTCGATGGACACCAATCAGATGAAACTGGTTCAGGCGAAGGAGATAACTCAAATGGTGGTGCCTCCAACATAGGAACGAGTGAAGATGATCAGGCTAGATTAATTTTAAAAAGGAAATTGCAAAGGAACCGAACATCATTTACAAATGACCAGATTGACAGTCTAGAAAAAGGTATATATATTTAAATATTAAAGTTAAAGGTAAGACCTGGTGGAGAGTGCTCAAATGGAAGATCCCATTTGCCATTACTGAACCGTTTCAATTATATATAATATATTCTAGCGGTAAGTTTACTGCTTCAAATTTGAGATATATTTTTCACCCACATTCCGTCCGCAAACAAAATAAATCGATACGAACTATCTTAAGCTCAACATCTAAAGTCATATTTTTTACATAGATATTTGAAAATTGAATAAGTGACCAAAAGTGGGAATCAATGGTTTCCGCCCATAATAAACTTACGTTCATTAAACGTTTAACCCGTAATTTATATCCAAGAGATGTGGATTTAGCGCAAAACGTATTAAATAAATTTCACAAAGATCTTTGAAAATAAATTTGGAGTCGATCCAAAGGTAAGAAAAAACCATGTAAGTTTTCCGCCAATTTACCACAGATGCGGGTAAAATTAAAAAAAAACCGGAACACTTATTCATTATGTTCTTATCAATTAGATTAAACATAAAACTTCGCCTACAAAATTTTAAATCCGCATTTTCCATCGATGAAGCTTTGATGTTAATATCATATACCTTTTAATGTTTTTAGAGTTTGAAAGAACACATTATCCGGACGTCTTTGCCCGCGAACGATTGGCTGGAAAGATAGGTTTGCCCGAGGCAAGGATACAAGTCTGGTTTTCGAATCGACGGGCCAAGTGGCGTCGTGAAGAGAAATTACGAAATCAGCGGCGAACGCCAAACTCAACCGGCACAAATGGAACATCATCCTCGACCTCGGCAACAACATCTTTAACTGACAGTCCCAATAGCCTAGGCGGTTGCTCTTCACTATTGGCTGGCTCTGCAGGAAGTAAGTTTTGCACTCAAACTTAGGTTATAACTCATCAGCTTTTTTTTATGCCCTGTACCCAATGAAATGGGACATGAAGTTTATATATTGTTGACCAGGACGACTAGCTGAGTCGATTAAGTCAAGTTCGTCTGTCTGTCTGTATATAAACCACAATATTATATTGATTGAGTTGTAAATAAAAGTGAAATTTTACAATTTTGTGGGGAACGAGGGGATGCATTAAAAACTAAAAAAAAAACAGTTTTATAATCAGGATCTGTGTCTACCCATACCTAATTGGGAGTCTCGAGCTTTCGTAACCTCGGAGATACGCTTTAAGGGTTTCGTTATATATTTTATTCGAATTGTTTAACTTTCCTATTATATTTGAATTGTAGGTGGACTGAATGGCTTAGCATCGCCGAATCCAATAGCAACGCCAACTGGCGGGTCTGAAACTTCGGATGCACACCACACAGCCTCAGGAGGTGCTCATATTCGATCTGGAACGCATAACATAGGCAATGCATGTTCACCAGGACTAGGAATTGCTGACCAACGGCATCAGCACCATCATCACGTTCCTCCTCACACACTCGTCCCGTCCATTTCACCGCGCCTCAACTTCAACAGTGGCTTCAGCAGTTCGATGAGCGCAATGTATACGAATATGCACCACAATGCGATATCAATGAGTGAAGGTTACGGGTAAGTTAATTAATGTGATATATTATATACTACTGCATTAATTCGGTTCTTGAATTTGATTAGATCTGTGTCCTCGATGCCAAACTTCGGCCATCCAACAGTGGGTTCCTTGGCACCTCCTTCGCCAATTACGCAACAAAGAGATTTGACACCGCCATCCATGTATCCGTGCCACATGCCTCTACGGCCTCCGCCAATACCACCACACCAACTAGTTGGTGTGGGAAGTGCCACAAATGACAGTGCCGGCGTCAGCAGCAGTCCACTCCAATCCAATCCACATGCTGCGTCCGGAACTGTGGCCAGCAACAATGCAATCGGATACGAATCTCTTTCGGCTTACAGTTTGCAGCCCCCGCCACCAGCAAGCACAGCTGCGAATCATATTCCCTCTGGCCATCATCCCAGCATGGAGGCTCGCCAAGCTACTTGTAGCCCAAGTCTAATGAATAGTGGCGGCTCAGTTCATGGGGTGGGTCATGGATCGGGATTTGGGAGCGAGAGTATTTCACCTGCTTTGCCTTCCTACGCACACATGAGCTATAACTATGCGGCAGCGGCCAGTGGTGTGGCATCCTCTGGAGGTGCCAATCCGGCTGCTGCCATTAATTCGCACGGATCGGGAAAGCAGCAGTTTTTTGCGTCTTGCTTTTACTCTCCTTGGGCTTAAGTGCAAGTACGGCAGATTTACAGTGGAAAACTAATCAAAAAAAAAAACAACTTTCATGCCCCAAAAAAGTAGTCAACTGCATCTTTCATATCGAGCCAGCACTTCGGAGACCCAAAAATCGAATTTACATATCTTTCAATAAATACTTCAAATCACTGATTTAAGCATGAAGGTTGTAGTAAAGTGCATATGTATATTTCCGCCCAAGGATTCCACCAATTATCACAGTAATTGGTGTGATTAAATAATATAAATTTGAGAAAAAAAAAACAAATTAAAATTAGTTTTATTTGTCAAATATACCAAAGCGAAAAAACATTTAAAATTATCAGGAAATTCTCGAGTATATTTCTGCATTTTGAAAAATACCATATATATATAAGAACCTTTACCTCTAAGCTTTAAGGCCCTTGAACACAAATAAAACTAGCCATTAGCTTAATAAAAATACACTAAATATATTCCCAGTAGTCTGGAATTTCATTTTATAAGGTTCCACAAATGCATAGAAAAGGAACACATTAGGAAGTATCTTAGACCCAATAACTGTTAACTGACGAAGCCAAAAACAATATGAAAATAAGTCAGAGTTACTTGGGAGCTAATGGGAGTTATTCAGTATCAAGGGTCCATTTTGTTTTCTATTGAAACATTTTATGCAATAATTAAGAAATTAAAAGGGTGTAAAGGTCGCATACCTAATATGATGTGAATATACCAAAAACAAAGCTTTACCTCCTGTGGTTCTTTATTTCTTTTATTTTTGTGTAGATGGCTAGCTGTAAAGTATTTTTCTGTCCCTCATATATCTTCTATTATCTCCTCGTTATGCCAAAATACCGGAGTCGCAAACGCTTTTGAGGCGTATTTCGAGAAAAAGCGGGGCTTGTTTGAAATATTAATATCAATGTTAAGGTCCAGACCGAAATGTTTAAATGTCTGTATGTATACATAACTCTGAAATTATATATATATGTTTTCATTTAACACTGCTGCATTTGATTATAGTAAAATAAGCTTTCAATTCAATTTTCAATTTGGTTGCATGCATAAGGGTCCTTGTTAAAGTTAAGTTCAACAAACATTTTAATGAAGTTGCTTCCAATATACTCAGTGACTGTGCCTAGAGAGGGTCATTAAGACATTTTTAATATAGGACTTAACTCAATGAATCATTCAAAATAAACAATTTTGCAAAGTGGTTGCTAACAGAGCGTTCTCAAGTACGCAGGGTTAAATCACGTGCACAAATTTTGACGGCTTATGGATGTGTTCGCTTTATAACCCCTGTTTTTCTTTATGTGGGATAAGTATGTTTATTGAATATATTAGTATTATTACACAACAACTACAACTTGTAGTAGATACATTGCTTTATAATACTCAACCCTCCATTCGTTTGTTCTTCTAAATTAATATCAATTTATATAGGCGAAGTTTAACAATGGCATCATTATAGAAATCATGATAAATTCTCGAATAACCTCTCTCGAATTAAAGCTGAATGTAAAACATATAGATTATGTCATGTGAACAAAAATATATTTTAACTGAATAAAAGTGTAAAAGCACTCTATGACTGATTCAGTTAAAAATAAGTTTGAACAAGTAAGACTGCTTTAGTAGGCAGTGCCTGACTGGAGGATACCCTGAACCTTCTTCTACTCTTTTGCTTTAGATTTAAAAAATTATAAAAAAGGGTCCCTGTGCCGGACGACTCGGAACTCGCAACTCTAATCAACTTTGCAACTACCTCATACCTCATAGCAATACCAAGAATTTGGTTTGGATGTGAAAAAATACTGAACCAATATGACAGCACATACACAGAGCATGATATACAGTACTATTCGAATTAAAATTCCACTTGCCTGTGTTTTTTTATATTCTCTTTACAAGACGAAACCATTATACTCTCTTACACATTTTTAATGGGTTAGGGTACACAAATGGTTCTTCTTATTAAAAATCCATAGAAAGAAATCGAATGTATAAAATCAGGTGCCTTTACTTTGTGTGAAATTAAAAGTACAATTTTAAGAGCAGAAGTGACAGTGCTCTAGTATTTAATAGATGCACGGCACACATATTCATAGATGCATACATAGGTGACTATAAATATAACATTTTCTTGAGAAATGTCATAAATAATTAACTAGTGTTGTTAAAAATAAAGGCCTTTGTATTGGTGAGGTACATAAAGTAGATAAACACAACATATGTATATATATAAGTAATGCCGGTTATATATGTATGGACATGAGTACACAAACACGTGCACATTTAGGTATGCGTATGTATAAATTTATCAATTTCACTCTGTTCCATTGGTGGAAGCGGTCTACTCGGTAAGTTGTGTTGCCAATTTAGTTAGTTTCCAGCTACATTTCTGATTGAGTTGTCTTCACTCGAAAAATCAATCGCATTTCTCACCGGGGAAGCTTGGATTCTGCGAAGATTCATTTTTAAAGAGGATGGATTTTCCAGAAACGTGTGAAACACATCTTAAATGAATTTGAACAACGATTTTTGAAAATGAATTTGAAATCAATGAAATATTAAAAGAATTTCGCACAGCACAAACTTTACGCGCGGTTTAGTTTAGGTTTTAGCCATTTTTTAAATATGTGGCAGCACTGCTGCTGGATTATTTGAATGTTATTGAGACTCTTAAATTAATTTGCTTGTTTCCATTTTCTTGAGCATCATTAGGCTATGCCGTGCTCGTATAGAAAAGCTGCAAAGCGCAACAAATTCCACAAAAATGAGAAATAACATCAATGAATAGAGCAACAGGGAGAAAGAGAGAGAGAGAGAGAGAGAGAGAGAGAGAGAGAGAGAGCGTGAGATAGAGAGAGGGAAGTGAATTGATGACGAAAGCTACAATGGCTAGATAATGTCTGATGTCTGCACTTATGGTTATTCTCCTAGAGATCAGTTCAAAAGAAACAGTAATAGATCAACACTCGTGGAGTTCGCTTCGTTTCCACAGAAGGATAATTTTCTTGCTGTGGGCTGCACTGTGTTAGTCTGTAGTCTAGTTGTACGTACCAACCTAATTGCACTATATATGTATGTGTATACATAAGTAAATACTCAAATATGGATCAGTTGTGTTTATGTAAAGTGAAAGTGAATAAAATTCAATTGAAATATCTCTAATAAGATTATATATATATATATATACATACATATATATATATATATATATATATATATATATATATACATACATACATATATATATATATATATATACACACATATATATATATATATATATACATATACATATATGCATCAACAAGTTCAAGGAATAATCATTGCAATGGTTATCATAAACGACAGAAATGTGAAGTCTGCAATTAAACAAATGGAATAAGCAAATTATAAATTCTTAAATTAATATGTAGTATGTCTAAATATAAATGTGTCTATATGCCTACATATGTGTATGTACATACTTTATGCATATAGCTGAGACTATTCGTGGAATTGTGTAACGGTTGTCGGGTATAATATATAAATAGAAATGGCTCACTTGAATTAATATCGCACAGCAGTGATTTGAAACAAAAATATCAATCACTATGCTTGTGTAAATTACATATTACTATCGTATGTATGTTTGCATACACTTGCAACGTTAAATAAAAATATAAATAAAAATAAAAAGCAACATTTATTTATGCATAGACGTGTTAATCTGATTCCCACACATATTTCTGTATCTATGTATATAACGGCCATGAAAAATTACTTTGCCTATGCTAAAGGCATAGAAAATCGAATAGCAATGAGTATGTATATATGTATGTATGTGTACGAGCATATGTACATACATATATTGCTTCTATCGTGAACCGTATTTAAAATGTGAATGTGGATGTTCATAAATATCTACTTTATATGTATATACCATACACTATTTTTTTAACACACATACAAGCATGTATGTTTGTGTGCACATGCATACTCATGCAAGTATACACAAAAAGATGAATTTAACACATACACAGGAGAGTGCCCGTAGAAAAATATTTCGCATACATGCTTAAATCTATAGAAATATATTCATACATACATACACATCAGTGATTATAGGGTACGTGTGGTTACCAACTCATCAAATGGGTTGTACATACGTAAGTATGTACAGATGTTCATTTTCAAGCAAACCCAAAGCTATAGTTCTTATATTCATGCATGCATACGACATGCATGTATGCATACATATGTAAAAATATATACATACATCATACATACATATGTTTATATATAAACAAACGGTGACTATAAAAGACTAAAAATAAACGAGCAACACATTCAATGTTTCGTCTTCTGTGGGAATTTTTTTCCATTAGAAAATTAGTGCCGACAGAGAGGAAAGCGATCAAATTTCCATCTTCCAAAATATCAATGAGTCGTGTGCACTATTCCAACTGTCGCTATGTGTATGTGTGTACATATTTACATACATATATTATGGATCTATCTAGAATCTGCATATGCACACTATTAAATCCCAATGCTTGTATCTATGTCCGTAGTATTACGACTATTATATGATCAAGTAAACAAATGTGTATGCATGTAGTTATGCTTGGCCAATATAAACACAATTTATAAATAAATTTAAAATAAAATAAGTAAAAAAAGCCAGAGGTATTAATTTTAACAAGCAATATCTATCTAAATTAGCAGCATTATCTATGATGATCTTAGTCATCATGATTGGGGATCAACGCAAAAGCTTATTAAAAATTCTTTTAGAAGCTTATATATGTATATTTCGACCGAATCGGTTCAGCCCATTATTTCGGTGTATCATTGCTGGTAATCTGTTTTAAAACTATTGGATGAACAACACGAAAGTCATAGAAAATTACACAAATAGAAGTTACTAGCAGTGGTGTCGCTGCCTAAAAGTATACAATTTGCTTTTTATACCCTGAACCCATTAAAAATGGATATAGGGGTATATTGTATTTGTGGGAAAGCCAAATGTATGTAACAGGCAGAAGGAAGCATCTCTGACCCCATAAAGTATATATATTCTTGATCAGCATCAATAGCCGAGTCGATCTAGCCATGTCCGTCTGTCTTTCCGTCCGTCTATAAGAGCTAGAGACTTGAAATTTTAGATGTAGATGCTCCTAGCTCCCGTGCAGATCGAGTTTGTTTCCGATAATCGATAACTTACTCCGTTTCCAAGCAATCAATAAAAATCTATATCGATATCCTGTATTTTGGGCAATTTTGGTAAATATTAAGAGCTAGAGTCACCAAACTTGACATATAGCTTCTAAAATAGAATATATATATGCATTTGATGTTGGAAGAGGAGGGTTCAGGGTATCCCCTAGTCGGGAGCTCCCGACTAGAACCTCTTACTTGTTGTATTTATGAATGCTTGGCTTGGCTTGGAAATCCTAGCCAAACCTAATTCCCCAATTTATAAATGCATCCTTTAAAAGATCAAGTTCACTCCGGCTGTAAAACCCAAACGACGAGAGACTTGTGGAACTGAAGTCCTTGGCATTTGCATATAAGCCATAATGCTTTCTATGATCCACACGTTCATGCAGACGGCCTATACAGATATATACCAAAATAGATATATACCCTTACACCATTTTCAATAGGCGCAAGGTATAAAAAGTTGGTTATTAAGAAAACTTATTTTCGCCGGATTGTTTAGTTATTTGTCATAATGACTTAATTCGGTCGGTTGTCATATATGTACTATATGCAATAAAAACTTATCGTCTGTGCCAAGTTCTATAAAAAATATTGATGTGATTAATAGACATGTTTGCATAGAAATAGATTGACAAGCAGCTATGACAAGTATATCGTCTCTGTTCTTCATATTGATAAAAAAAAAAAAATAAATATAGATTTGTTTTAGAATTTCTGCTGAAGATATTACCCATTTATTTTCCCAGAGCTTAAGAGCCTGAGCCGTTGAAGACGAAAAACGATATCCCTCTCAGCATGGGGGTGGCTGAAGATTTCGCTCCCAGCTTTGTGAAAAAGCCACAACTGCATCAAGAAGATGACGGCAATCGGTTGATATTTGAGTGTCAGCTAGTGTCGTCCCCGAAGCCAGATATCGAGTGGTTTCGTAGTGACAACAAATTAACAGAGGATGCCAGAACCAAATTCAAAATTCAACCCATCGGGGACAACAAGTTTACGGTAGTATTAGAGCTCGACGATGTAGTTGAAACGGATGCTGGACTTTACAAAGTAAAAGCAAAGAACAAATCGGGCGAAGTTTCTGCATCAATTAACTTAAATTTCACACGTAAGTAGATCGAAACAAATTGGTTTCGCTAATTCGTGCCAATTATGTATTAAGATAACGAAGATAAGATAAGAAGACGCTTATATATACTATATATTTAATAATATATAGCTATTATATATATTAACTGCAATTTATACGGAAAAGTCATTTCACCCTAAAGATATGTACTTAAAATATCGCACAATTTGGTAAACATTTGAAATAATATATTTTTATATATTTATACGCTCTTGCCATTTTGTTCAGCTGCTGACGAACCCAAAGAAAAGTAAGAAAAGTTTCAAATTATTTTCCCTTAACATTATTATTTTGATCGCCCTAACTGATGCTTATGCTACAAAACGTTTTTAAGTTACCAAAACTAGCTAGCTATGAGTCTTTTTTTGACAGAGGCAAAGCTAACGAGATCTGATCTATTATTACATTTAATATTTAACTTAGAGATTTGAACACTTTTATAAGTAGCTTGTAAATATTTATTTTGTTTACCTACTGCTTGAAAATTTCTATAATTCTAAAAATTAAATAATGAGATATGTACATGCTTTTTTCTAACAAGTGGGCAAGTTTTCACTTCTAGAAGATTTAAGGTGAGTTAAGAAACTGAGCTACCTCTATGTTAACTTTGTCTGTCTAGCGTTCGTTTACCTATGACTAAATTCGAGCTGTATTACAATTAAAGGTACTATTCAGCTATAAGTATCGTTAGATAAAATGTTAAGGAAGTGAGATTCACGTTTTTCAACAATTTCATAAAAAATTTCATTGTATATAAAACTAGTTAGTCACTTTATGTTATGACATTACCTCCCAATATATATAACTGAATATACAATTAAGACAAAAAGAGCTGGGAAAGTTTACAATATGTTTTTTGTTACAGACGTGTCCTAACGTAGTTTTGTTTGTTATGGTTCTGCATGGTTCGAAATTCGTAAAACATCTTATTGGTCAAAATGTATACTATAATTTTATATATGTTATAGACAAATCGACGGTTTCGCGCCGACATTCGCGAAAAAACCTGCCATACGACAAGAAGAGGATGGAAAACGCCTTTTGTTTGAGTGTCGCGTTAATGCAGATCCCTTACCCAATATTATTTGGTTCCATAACGGCACGCCTGTCCAGGAATCTTCGAGACACAGGGTAAATATTTCTATTTCTCGTAGTTCTAAATATGATGGTCTGAAGAACATTGAAAACAAAGTGAACATATTTAACTTACACGATCGATGTTAAACCTGTTGTCGAAGGTGCATGTGGACAATATTTTAAAGCGTTAAGGGGCTTGGAAAATCAGTTATCACGCCCGCAAATTTTTAGCGACAATAGCTTTAAAGCTGAGAGTCAAGTTTGTATATAATCAAAAGGCGGACGGATGGAAAGACGGACATGGCTATATCAACTCGGCTGTTGCTGCTGATCTAGAATATATACACTTTACGGGGACGGGATGTTTTCACTTTGACTTTACTTAATTTAAAATGGGATAATTAAATTTATACATTCAACTTTCATATTTTTCAGCTTACCATTGACAAAGACGTCCACTCATATTTTGCAACGCTTGAAATACAAAATGTTACAGTTGAGGATGCTGGCAAATACAAAGTGAACGCAAAAAATGAGCTGGGTGAAAGTAACGCAACGATAAGTCTCAACTTTGATAGTAAGTCCTGGTCTTTTCAATTTTATTTGTAACAATCAATTATTAAAATAATATTTTATTTATATATGTGTTAACGAATCTACGGAGATTAAATTAAAAAATATATAACAACAATATTGTAGTTTTAGTTACGTAAACACTGCGTTATTTTATAAAAACAAAGCTTTATCATGCTCATTGAGCCACAACTTAAATAGAAAATTCGTTTAACTTTGGTCTGTACAATATATTTTCGGCATGTCTAACTCTGAAATTATTAATTAATAACTAACAAACGTATGTATAAGTATATGCTGTATTTTTGCAAACAAAATAAGAAACAATTAATAACGTTGCAGTCGGGTGCAACCGACTTCGCAATACTCTGTTCACACTATAATTTCAGTCTGCATCAGTCAGCAAGAGTCTTCCTGATTATAATTACTATAAACCGATAAATATTGTTATATTAACTCTCAGTGAATAATAAGCTGTGATTAGAAAATATACATATTGGAATTTCGCCTGTCAAGTTTGCTGATTTCAGTTCTGAAATGCGAAATATATATTTTTTTGCGGTAGATTAAAAATGTTGATACCTTTGTAGACATGTTCCTTTCTACTGTAAAAACAATAAAGAGAGTAGGAGAATAGACAGACGGGCGAACGGTAAGACGGACAAAACTATATCCACTCGGCTGTTGATGCTGATTTTTATGGGATCTGATATATCTCCAGAAGATATTTGCGAAAGAAATAAAATCCTTTTCCACGTTGTGAACCTAGTATAGTAATAAAATTAATATTTATATTAGTACACGCCCACCTCAAAACACACAAGAACGTGAAATTTCAGATATTTTTCGCGTCAATTAAAAATCAAAAATTTCACGCTTTCACAAGCCGCTTACAATAAAGATAAATTAACAAAATCGAAACGTAGAAAAAATTAAAATTGATTTTTTTGGAATTTTTGAAAATTATAATAAAAAAACTAGTCAATTGATGGATAGGCAAGCTGAAAATGTGTTCAAATTTGAATGTGTGTAATAAGATCGACAAAACAATATCCCAATAAAAAAAAAAATATATATATATCTATGTATATATATATATATATATAAAAGTATATATATATATATATATATATATATATATTTAAATTTTTTATATATATTATATTATATTTTATATATATTATATATTATATATATATAAAGCTTGCCAAAAATGTACGCTTGGCTTATGTATTGGTCATGTTATGTATGCGTCAATTAAACTAATGCAATCAGTTTATAAGCTTCCTTATAATATTGAGGCCAGTATCGTATACCATAGTCAAATAAAAGTAAATTTGGTTGGGCACTAAATCTAACGGTGGTGTTTTAAAACAAAGCATAAGTATCTTACTTATGTATATCTTTATGTATAGTATATATATATATATATATATATATATATATATAATAGATATTTAAATTAAGCACTTACACATTATTTGGATGATTTGTGTAACATAGAAACTTAAACTTCATAGGCGACGAGGCTCCCGTGCCCGAAAGCACTGATGGAATAAAACCTACGTTTACCGAGCGCCCCGTCATTCGTCAAAGTGAAGATGGTGGAAATGTTACATTTGAATGTAGATGCGTTGGAGATCCCACACCAACGATTACATGGTACGCAATAGAATGCTCAAAGCCCATAAGTAGACCATATACTAAAAATGTTTAATATCTTGACCGTCTGTATGGAAGGCAAGCTGTGAGATCAGCATAGCACAGTAAATTTATACATGCACCCTTTTAATTTTGTAAAAAAAAAAGACCCTGCACCTGGGATCCACTTAATGTGTATTAATTATTCGAATAAATGTTAATCACGCATTGCCTTACAACAAAACTATAAGTAATAACTATTTCCCTCTGTGTACAACCGCATAAAAAGGTCCCATGGCGAGACAGTGTTGAGTGAAGGCAAAAGATATAAAATGTCATTGACATTGGATCAGAAGCTATATCATATGGCGCGCCTAGAGATAAGCAGCGTTGTATCCAGTGACCAGGGAGAGTATAGAGCCCAGGCGAAAAATAAGCATGGCTCGGGCGTAGCAACGATTAATTTAAATTTTGAAAGCGGTTCGAAAAAGTAAGGCTACCAACATATGTATATATAGTACATACACCTACCGAAACTTCTACATTTTATGCACTAATTAATATAACGCAATGGCTTCCGTTTATGCAGAATTCCCGATGGTAAGTCGCCGCGTTTTCCTAAAAAGCCGACAATACGTCAAGAGGAGGATATTTTGATAATGGAATGCATCCTGGAAGCCCATCCAGTGCCGGACATTACATGGTATTGCTCAGATAAGCAAATTATAGACAACGAGAGAACTAAAATGACGCGCAAGGCCATAACCAAAGATAGCTATGTCCTAACCCTCGAGATTCAAAACCCAACAAAAGATGATGGCGGCAACTATAGATGCAATGCTATAAATATGTTTGGGGAAAGCAATGCGAATATAGCGCTTAATTTCCAAGGTATAGGTATTTCATTTTTACGAATAGTATTTATAAGTACTACCCTAACAAGACCATGCAACAAACGTATCTCAATTACAATACTGTATCCACAATTGGAATATACTGAATATACTTCCAAATAGAATATATGGAATTGATGTACTCTGACTTTAGATATAATTATGTATAATTATGTATACTACGTTTCTAGCATGTAATTTAATAGTACACCTACACGATTCATACATGCACACGTACACGTATCTAAGTATATACTGCATCCGCCTCCATCTCGATTAAATGATATAATTAATGATATTATCTATTAAATAGTTACAAAAAAGGTACTAAATATGCTGCATAACACCATTGCAAACAATAATAGATAAATAGCCAATGTATACACATAACTTTATATTCATATTTAACATTTTGCCATTGCAAAAGAAAAACAATTAAGAAAAACCCTGAACCCAACGATGAGCTAACTTTACAAACATTCTAGCTCCCTTCTATATAAATACAAATGAGTTTTGACTGTACATACAAGAGTGTAATTAGTAAATCTTACACCTTATAATATTTTTCCTAAAAATATGTAACATACATGCTTTAAATTGCCATTTCGATTAAACCACTTTTTTAGTTGCATCCGATATTCCCAAGTGGTTTACCTTGGTTCTATATAAAAAGAATAAGTATTTTATAATATCTATGATATTAAATTACAATTATTTCAATAGGCGCCAATGACGCAAATGGTTTTGCTCCCTCGTTCATTGAGAAACCGAGGATTATACCAAATGAGACGGGCACTTTGATTACTATGAAGTGCAAATGCAAGGCTAAGCCGGAACCCACTGTCACATGGTACAGGGGACAGGATTTAGTGGAGAAAAGCAAAAAAATTAAAATAAACAGTACTGTCATCGCAGAGGACACCTATGAGCTGACGCTGGAAATAAAGGTATTAATCTATAATCTATATATCTATATATCTTAAGGCTTTTATCGCTCGACTTAGTTAAGTACATATACTAATTTTATTTTGATTATTGATTATTAATTTGATTATTAGGATCCCGGCGCCACCGATGGCGGCACTTACAGATGTAATGTAAAAAATGAATATGGCGAATCAAATGCCAACCTCAATCTAAACATTGAAGCTGAGCCCGAGCCCGAAGGGGAAGGGCCAACATTCATTGAAAAGCCCCGCATTATTTCGGAAAATAATGGTAAGCTCGTCATTATGGAGTGCAAGGTAAAGGCAGATCCAAAGCCAGACATCGTTTGGTTCCGCAACGGTGAGGTTATCAAGGAGAGCAATAAACTCAAAATATTCATGGAACAACGTGGCGATCAATACTATATTAAATTGGAATTAATAGATCCGCAGTTAGAAGACTCAGGTCTCTACAAATGCAACATTAAGAACTCATTAGGCGAATTAAACGCAAACCTCACGCTCAATATTGAAAGTAAGTATTATAGAAATAGTTGAATTATTATTCATCATAAATTAATTTAATTTTTAACCTTACAGTTGTACCTGTTATCAAGGACAAACCAAAAATCATCAAGATCATTAAAAAGCGAACTGTTGTCATTGAGTGCGTCGTTGCGTCTAAATTTGAGCCCAAATGCACCTGGTACAAAGAGACAAATACGGTAACGGAAAGCAAACGCCACGTTTATTTTGTTGAAAAAACAAAGGAAGGCGAGTTTGCTGTCAAACTCGAAATCAATGAGGTTGAGGAAAGTGATAAGGGCGCATACAAACTGGTGGCCAGCAACGAGAAGGGTGAAGCAGTTTCACAGGTCGTCAATCTTGTTGACATTCCAGAAGAAGAACGTAAGCCCTCAAAACCAGAAATCGCACGCAAGCTGGTTGACCAAAAGGTCACGGAATCTAAGACGTTCGAGCTTATAATAAGCCTAAAGAATTCGGATCGTAAGTGTAAGGTGGAGTGGTACAAGAGTAGCACCCTAATTCGTGAGACAAAAGATATAACTACAACATTTGATGGCACGACGGCGAGGCTAACATTTAGTAGTGCCAAATCTGAGCACACTTCAAATTACAAGGTCGTCGTGTCAAATGAACTCGGCAAGGATGAGTCCACCTGCAAGGTAACTGTGGAAAAGAAGGACAAAAAGAAGGACGAAAAGTCTGAACAGGAGAAGGAGAAAGAAGAAGCTGAAAAGAAGCAAAAGGTAATTGAAACTAAAACTAAAACCAAAGAAATCAGTAAACAAGAAGACTTAGCCGAACAAGAGCAGCAAGCAAATCAAATATCTTTAAGAGTCCAGAATAATCAGATTGATAATCAACAAATTAGTGTCATCTCCTACGAACAAGCTAACATTCAAGAGCAGCACTCAACGCTTATTGTTCAACAAACTAAGCAAACTAAACAACAGCAGGTTAGCGAAACACATGTTTCTTATAGTTCAGAAGTGCAGGAAGCACACCACCAAGAATTGCGCGTACAAGAACATAGTTCACACAAGGTTCAAGCCAAGGTATCCTCCACCTCCACCATCGAAGCCCAGCCAACGGTTAGTGCGTCTAATCAAATATGTAAAACCTAGTTATTAAGCCGAACTAGTTGCTTAGATGAAAATCCATTAAAATCTGAACATAAACAAATACACGAAGACGGAATAGTTCTCAAAGCAAGCCAACAGCGTTGTTGGAACTATTTATCTTGCGCATGCAGTTTTAAATCAAAATAATTGCATATTTTTCGATCATATACACATATTTATATACACATGTACAATCCCAAACCTTTAAGAAGTCTTAGTTATAAAGGTTTATTATAACAGTCTTTATAAATATGCCACTGTGGATATACCTCAAATATACAATAGCATGTGACTATTTATATTTTTTATAAATGTACAAATTAGTTTCAATTATGTATATTAATGTGTATATGAATTTGTTTTATTGTTTTTCCCATAGTCGGGATTATCTATATACCAGATACCTAAACTAAAGTCGCGAACGACATCGGAGCCCCCAGTCAAAGTTTCTGAATCGAAAGAAAAAAATATCTTTGGGGTGAAGTTGATACCCGTGAAACATGTTTTAAGTGATGAGGTTTGAAAAAAGTTCAAATTAAAAACTCTATGATCTCTCTTTCGACTATACTTTCTTATTATCAAACTCTCACTATCCTCTGATATAGATATATTCTTTTTACTTTCAAACTTTTTCAACTATCTATCTTGGGCCTAATCAGTACTAAGCTTATTTAAACCTCTGCTGGATCGTATTACTCAACTTGTGGTTAATCTATCTGACTTTTTCTGGCACCATTTATTTTTGTTTCGGACTCTATTATTTCTATCTGTGTGTCTATAGATGCGTGTGAAATTCTCTTAAAACTGTATTATATGTTTCTGTGTTGAAAATACAACGAGTTTTAATTTTCTGTATCCGTAGTAAACTATTTATACTTTTATGACATGAAGCATGTTAATGACAGCTTTAGTCTGAAGTTGACTTCAATCAATGCATTAGAAACCTGAATGGGTTTCTATCGTTTTCACATACTAACAATAACCTCTTTTTTTATTTGAAAATCCTTGTTAATAACAACAAAAATACACCTACATAACTACTACACAAAAAATCGACTACAAAAAAAGGCTGATGAAGAAGAGAAGAAGGAAGAAATAAAGGAAGAGACGAAGGAAGAAATTAAAGAAGAAGAGAAGCAAAATGAAGAAGCTTCAAATAAACAAGTGGATAAGAAAACTTCTAAAGAGAAGGCAAATGCGAAAATTAATCAAAACGAAGTAGAAGAGACTTTGCAAAAGAAAACTGAAAAGAAGAAGAAGAGTGAAGATAAAAATGAAGAAAATCCTTTAGAACAGAAATCTACAAAGGCAGACGAAAATAAAAAAGAAAAGAAACCTTTGGAAAAGAAGCCTAAGCGGCAACAAGAAAATGTTGAGAAACCGCAGACTGCGGCAGAGGAAGTCGTCCCAGAAGAAGAGAGGCCGGTTAAAAGGAAGTCAGTATCGGAAGCCAAGGCTAAGACTGTCGAAAAACCAACAACAAAAGAGCCCAATGCTGATGCACCTAATGAACCTAACAGTAATAACAATCTTAGCCCAGATACTCAAGAGGTAAGGATACAAATATCCTGCATAAAATAAAACAAAAAAACTTTGCTAGAGAGGATATTCTCCACAATCACTCAAACAAAAAACACAAAAGAAATAACTAGATCTAACTTTACTGCTAAACGCATGCCAATTGATAAGAAATGTTTAAGCTCTAACTATCAAAATACAAAAAAATATATATATATAAAATTACTAATTTTTCTTTCTCATTTTCGTTTATACCAGGGACCTGCAGAGCAGATTGGCTTAAAGAAGGTTGAACGCAAGGTAAGTTATCTAATTCGAATTTTGTTGGATAAAGGCAATGGTTGGGGCCAAAGTTAATTTATAAGTATTTTAATTTGAAAAAAAAAAGTTAGTTGGCTTAACTGTTCTTTGGACCCCTGCTTATAATTGGAATTCCAATCTTAATTTATTTATATAACAATTTGAAATATTTTCAATTATTGAAATTCGCTTACTTAACTATATAGTTATAATTGGAAAAACAAAAGTTTGGTATTGCAATTGAATTTGAAGTTGTGGTCGAATTTACCTATTCAAATTTCAACTTTCGGTCAGTTAGGAGGGTTTATTATATTTTATATTATTATTATTTATATTAATATATATATATGTGCAGGAAGTCACACGGTTTTATTTTTTTTTGGCGATCGCCTATTGGTTATAAATCTTAAGAATTTTGTGTTCCCAAAATTTCTGTATATGTTTATGTCGTTTTGTTGTTGATCATTTCTATCATTAGGCTAGTATTGTGTCCGTTAAAGAAGAATCAAAGTCAGAGACACGTCGTAAGTCAATAATCAAAAGCCACGAGCAAACATCTGAAGAAGATACAAAAACTGTATCAAGGAGGTCCTCACTTGCGGTAAGACGAACATTTAACACTTAAATAACAATTACCCTGTGTGAACCTGCATATTGTTGTTTTCTTTCCAATTACTTCTATGTTAACAAGGTTGAAGAAAGCGTATCGGAATCAAGACGTTCATCTGTGGTCGATAAGAAGGCCTTAGAGGTATGTATCAGATACAAAGTGGAATACAAATGCCTACTTTGGTGTAAAAACTGTCGGGGAAATCTATTTAATTTGTTCAAAGGCTGAAATATAAATTAGTTATTTCTAGTATGTAAGTTATATTATGGCAGACAATATGCAGGGTATTCGTAAGGCTAGTCTTATGCTTATATATAAATATATTCCGACACAGCAGGTTGAGAGCAAAAAAATTGAAGCCAACAATAATCCACAAGCTATTAAGGAAGAGATCCCCAAGCTGAAACCGGCCGATAAACGGCGAATTCCAAAGGTAAGGGATGATATGAGTAGAGGGACACCGCTCAAAAACTATTGCTGATATACTTTCTGCTATCTTTTTTTTTCGTATTTCATATCTTAATAAAAGTCGTTTAAGGACATTAAAGTTACTTATTTCGTGTCACTCCTATCCAAAATAAGAAAGAAACTTGTTTCTTTTAAACGACTTCGAATTTGTTGGGCCTATGTATGGCATCAGTCTAACTATCTTTCTACTTTTCTGTCTATTACCTGCCTCTCTATCTATATATCACCAAATACAATGTATACCTTTTGTTCGATGTTTTTGTGCCAATAACGTTATTATACCCTGAACCCATTAAAAATGGGTATAAGGGTATATTGTATTTCTGCAAAATCCAAATGTATGTAACAGGCAGAAGGAAGCATCTCCGACCCCATAAAGTATATACATATATTCTTGATCAGCATTAATAGCCGAGTCGAACTAGCCATGTCCGTCTGTCTGTCCGTCCGTCTGTCCGTCCGTCCGTATGTATGAACGCAAGGATCTCAGAACCTATAAGAGCTAGAGAAATTTTAGATGTGGGTGCTCCTAGTGCCTGCGCAGATCGAGTTTGTTTCCGATAATCGATAACTTACTCCGTTTCCACGCAATCGATAAAAATCGATAACGATATCCTGGTTTTTGGGTAATTTTGGTAAATAATAAGAGCTAGAGTCACCAAACTGGACATATAGCTTCTAAAATAATATATATACATATATATATATATATATTTTTGATTTTGGAAGAAGAGGGTTCAGGGTATCCCCTAGTCGGGAACTCCCGACTAGAACCTCTTACTTGTCTATATATCTATCTATGTATGACATCAGTCTAATTATCTATCTACTTTTCTATCTATCATCTGTCTATCTTTCTATATTTAATCATATACTATACTATATATAACGATATTTCTGTGCTAATAATGTTATCTATATATCTTTTTTTCTATCTAACAATCTATCGATCTCTAAGTCTATAAATATGAAAGAATAAGATATGCCTATCTTCTATATCACAATATATCTTTCTGTCTACCTAACAAGCTTTCTCTATATAGCATATGCAAATATGGTAATCTTTCAAGAAATAAAATGTATTTCTGTTCAATAACAACTCCATTTATGTTCATGTCCTAATGTTGTACTTTGTGTTACCCGAAATAGACTGTAGAAGAGCAAAAACCAGCCGAAGAGCTGCCCAAGCTGCGTAAAACATCTATTGCAAAGCCAAAGGAAGAACCTATACCAGAAGCTGCTAAATCAAAGGCTAAAGGAAAGCCAAAAGCTAAGCCAAAGTACGAGGAGCTTCCAGAAATTCCAGATTACGAGCGACCAGCACTTGAGAAGTACGAAAAGTCAGATTTTACTCCATCAGATTTTGCTCGGGAGCTCGAAATACCAAATAAAATGGAAAAGCCAGCATTGGAAACGGCCAAAAAGCCAGCGGAGGTAGTTCCCCAAAAGAATGGTTTGCCAAAGGTAAGGTGTGAAATGTTATTAAATTGCATGCATAAATGTCTATGTATGCATACAAACATATTATATTATTGTTAATATTGTGTTGCAATCCTTTATCCCAATTTTTCTGAATTTAAAATGTTCATCCGTCTGTATGTTATGCGTGATCGTATTAAAGAAAACCGAAGTAATAGAACAACCAGCCGAAGAACCAAAAACTATTAAGTTAGGCAAAGGCAAATTGCCTGATGATGAGGACACAAGAGATGGTGCTACGCTGAAACCTGTGATTGTCGAACCAGAGGTAAGTATTCTGAGTGTTTGCCAGCACAAATGCACACTTACATATGGATACATATGGATTTATTGTGGGCAAAACTAAGCAAATCCATTCCGCCAGCCTCAGAAGTATTGCTAGAGTTAATAAATAAATTTAAATGCAAGTTGCGTCAGGTTCGAATATCAGATAAATGGCTAACAACATTTAACATTTTTCAAACGCGATTGCTTTGTCAATAAGTATATTAAAGTTTTCCTTCACCTTTACTTCCCCTCCCCCCACCAACCTTTCTGAAACACAACACACATTGAAAAATACACGCAACGCAGAAAGATAAACAAAATGCGGAAAAATCGGAAGAGGTAAGTTCACATTAGCTTATCAAGAAGATCTAAGATATTATAAAGTTCAATTACTTCGCCAAATTAAAGTATGCATAAATGTTATAATACACGAGATAAAATTCCTTTGCATCGACGATCGTAAGATCACAGACCCATTTTCTCATCTCTCAATGAAAATCATTGTTGCTAACTTTCGAAACTGAAGAAAATATTTTTCAACAAAATATAAGAAGTTATTCCAAATATTTTTAATTTCGGTTACATTTAAAAAGATCGTAGGTATTTGAAATGGATGAGAAAATGTGTCTAAAAATTAAAAAATAAATATTGGACAGACTTACTGTAAACGCAATAAAATGTACCATATACCTCTCAGGCTGAAAAACCATCTCTGATGGATATAATAAAGCAGCGACGTCGTTCCTCAGTCAGAAACTTGATGACCAAGGAACCTATTCAAAACGAGTCCTTCCTTGGGGTAGTTTTGAAACCCGTCGTAAAGGATGCTAAAGAGCAAGTTGCACCCCAACAAGCAAAGCAATTACATAAGGTAATATCAACTCTGGCCATATGCAGCTTCGAGCTTGGAGTAACAAATGTGTTCTTTACACTTTTCCCTATCTTTTCAATCTTATATATATATATATATATGTATATATTTATATATATAGCTTATATTCTGTTTTACTCCATTTATTCTTACTAATTTGCAAAACATTATTCTCTTTCTATTTCACCTATGAACTATTTATAGTTACGTAAGTGCATACTTGTGTGAACTCGTCAGCACTTCTCTTTTCTCTCATTTTATCTTGCTTTGGATCTATTTCCTATATCTCTTTATCTTAATTTTGTAATCTCTTTATATCTTTTACAACTCGATCATTTTATTATTGGGCAACTATTTCAGTTTTAATTGGTGGTTTTGGAGACCTTTCCATATTTTAGTTTTATACTAAAACAAAATCTCATAAAAAATTGAAGTATATACGACAAGTCAAAATTTTCATTTCTTGTTCTTTAACTAAGTACCAGTACGATGAAGTCAAAGTTGAATCTAGTTTCTGGTCCATGCTGTTTTGTACAATTCCTATAACCATCAATTAACGATAGGCATGAAGAAATATCAACATCTCTCTCTCTCTCTCTCTGCATTTCTCGCTCTCTCTTTCTGTCTCTCTCTCGCCCTTTCTGTCTGTCTCCCGCTCTCTCTTTGCTCTCTTTATATATATATGTCAGCATTTAAATTAACATTATGTTAATTATTATATCTTGCGCTGTATTATAAATCTACAAATCTTTTTAACTCAGTCTTCTATTATTTCTATATGCTATATATGAATATGTATATGCATAATTTTTGCAAATTGCTTGATCTCTATCTGCATAGCTGACTTCTATCAAACGAAATTGTCATTTAATTTTTGACTTGGTATTTATTCCCCTGTATACAAAAAAAATTTCGCTTGGTAAAGGCAAATGTAACGGAAAAGTTTAATCCCTCAAAAGCATCCAAAGCGCAAATATCTGATATGAAAAAGCCTGAAGCCTTAGCAACCATTGTGGACGATTATGAACGCCCACAGTTAGAAAAATATGAGCCTATTGAATTTGAGAAAACTAAATCCGAGAAACCCACACCAGTCGTAAAGTCCCCGGATCAAAATGCTCCTGAAGTCAAATTACCCGTCGAAGATTCAAAGGTAAATCTAACTTGAGAACTTTTGTACTCACGAATTAATGAGAATAACACAAATTTATTTTATATTTGAAATATATATATATATATATATATAGATTAAAATTATATTTTAGAGAGTTTTGGTCAGTTTTAAATTCAGTGGAAAATTTAAAACATATTAGTATTTCTTGAAGCACTATAATTATAATTGATTGTAACCTAATGCACATACCAGACCGTCACTATATTTTCTTAATTAGCGTCAACAGAGGATTATATTTGAGAATAATCGTTTATCTTATAATTGATTTGGGTTTTCGTAAATCAGGTCTACAGCAGAGCAGTTAAAACTATTTTCTCTGATAAAATATTAATATGGTTTAAAACTTTTAAAGTTATTCTCTTGTTAAGAAAATATCTGTAGCCTTACATGATTTAAATTTGTCAGTTTTGTGATTTATTTTATTTGAAGATATATGTCATATATGCTTACAAATCTATAGGTATATGTATCTATGTTCTGGGCACATACGATGTTTTTATATTTTTATTTATGTAGGTTTACCAAATATTCTTTAATTATGTATGGTGAAACCTTGTAGTTTTTATTTTTATTATGCACCACAGCAAATGTTCAAGAATGTTTATATAATATATGCATACTAAGGTGTATGTATTCTGGTTTTGCGGATTTGGAGGCTGGTTTCTTTTCGTTTCGTTATTCAATTTGTGTTATGTATAAATATGAAAGTATACTATATGTATATGTACGCTACACATATATTTGTACTACATACATATAAACATATTTTTATTTTTATATTTTAATGTGTTGAAAATCTTTTGTCAAAAATATATGAACATATACCTCATATATACCATATACTAGTCCCAATGTTTGATGTCTGTCTCCTCTTGTCGTTCATGACAAACGGTTGAAATTATATCACATTTTAGCGCGTTTCAACTTTTCTTCGAATCGAATTAATTGAAACAAACTACATTTGCAATGAATTCGTAAAGTAACTGTGGAATCTTAACTAACCCATTGAAGTATAGAATATAAGCATACGGAAAGGATTACTCTTCGTCAAGATGTCAGCCGTGTTTAAACTGACCGTAGACGCGGTGCGTATTGCAGACACCAAATATTGATAAGTACATAGTCGTCGGTACTTTCCCAAAAAATCATATACATATACTTTACATGACTTATAAAATCATATATATATAATATATATGTATACTACTAAATTGTATACAAATTCAAACAAATAGTCTTGTTTCCAGTAAATAGCCAAAAAAGAAATTTGAGAAGAAACTTGTTGGGGCTGAACACAAGTATAAATATATCTTAATATTACAGGTCCTTAGGATAATATTAATAATAATTATAACTATTTCACTTTTAGAACAGAGTATTAGATCTCATACATTCTATTTTTGTCTGTGCTTACTGAGAAGGTGTAGCTGCAAATCGAAGTATACAGCACAAAATTGTCTTGGAATGAAAAGACAATCCAGAATATATGATTTTGCAAGTGTGTTAATATAGAAGAATTCAAAAAATTTTTCAACAAATTTGCGTATATATATTCACGGCTAAGATGGGTATTCGTAGTTGATGATATGATTATGTATAGAAATAAATAAATATAAATGATCTATATTTGCCTGCCAGTGTGTAGTGTGCAAATATTTATACAACCCACCCAATATTTGCCTGATTCGAACACTTAAACATGTATATATATTCACTGATGACTTTTTGTATTTAGGAGGAAAAGCCAAAGGTACCCAAAATGCAGCCTCCAGCGCCCGGTGACCCACCAAAGATCGAGGTAATTCGAGAGAAGCGCCCGTCCCTAGCACCAGAGCCTCCCAGTCGACGTGGCTCCCTAGTTCCCCCAGCGGACACGGGTCGTCGACCCTCCTTGATCATCAATGATGAGGTAAATTGTTACACCATTTATTTCTGAAATTCGACAAAAATAAAACTTCCCACAGTAGTGATCTAATGTACTATAAACGAACTTTTTATCGATATGATTTCCTAAATTATAATAATTATAATATTGGACATGGGATCACTACTGTCTGTCATATATTGAACATTCATATGAGCGATATTGTATGACTTGTATAATCTCGATCGTATTATTATTTTCCAATTTCCAATAAATGGGCTTATAGAAGAAGACATACAAAAAATATCGCTTATCTTTACATATATATCATGTACATTTTTTTCGGTCGGTTCACCCAATGGAGTAATTCCACTGTATACCTTGCTTTCTTTAGAATGCAAACTAAATATCACATGTATGGCTACCGCATACATATATATGTAATATATTTTAAATTTAGAATCCCAGTTTCTATCAATATTTTGTTTGCAATGTTGGGTGTGCCTACCGAAAAGACACTTTTTTTCAAACAGATTGAATTTGATAGAATCTTAAAAATGAATATACATGCTTGTAGTTCAGTTTCCTTTTCTAATTTACCCTGTAATATTTGCTTGCGTAGTCGTTATTATAGAAAATAAAGAACTTTTACATTCCGTGGGCAAATAAATCAAAATTTATTTGGAAGCACTTTAATGACCGTTTTCGTATGTTTTTGGCGGAGTTAATGACAACTGCCAGGTATTCTCTAAAACTTCTTCCCTAATTAATGGAATCGAGCAAAACTAAATTATAAAATATATGACAGCTTTCCAAGAACATTTCAAAACGGCCTTAATCAGCTAGTTAATTATTTTTTACCCTGAACCCATTAAAAAAAAAAATGGGTATAAGGGTATGTAACATGCAGAAGTAAGCTTATTGACCCCATAAAGTATATATATTCTTGATCAGCATCAATAGCCGAGTCGATCTAGCCATGTCCGTCTGTCTGTCCGTCTGTCCGTCCGTCCGTCCGTCCGTATGTATGAACGCAAGGATCTCAGAACCTATAAGAGCTAGAGACTTGAAGTTTTAGATGTAGGTGCTCATAAGGCCTACGCAGATCGAATTTCTTTCCGATAATCGATAACTTACTCCGTTTCCAAGCTATCCATTAAATTCGATATCGATATCCTGTTTTTTGGGCAATTTTGGTAAATAATAAGAGCTAGAGTCACCAAACTGGACATATAGCTTCTAAAATAATATATATACATATATATATATATATATTTGATTTTGGAAGAAGAGGGTTCAGGGTATCCCCTAGTCGGGAGCTCCCGACTAGAACCTCTTACTTGTTTTTTTAATAAGTAGTATTTACACATATATCTAATGCCATCCGTCGTATATATATATCGTTTTTTCGCTAGCAACTTAATTAGTTTTCGTACATTGAATGGCTTTCTAGAATTTGAGCATATACAAAAACAGAAGCTAAAAATCATATGTTAACAGTCAACAAAATTATTTGAAAAGTTTACTTAAAGTGGAAACTGTCAGCGTCAAATTTTCTGTGAACTTCACCAAATAGATACTATATTTATATTTTGCGAAGGTAGTTTTAAGGCAAAATTAAGACACGAGTAGAGGCTTATACAGCGGCTCATATTACTTAAAAAAGCCGAGTAGAGGGTTTCAAGGTTGTTATAAGCTGATATACTTATGTATGTATATTCTCGAGTATATATACTTTAATAACAATGGTACTACTGATGATTTCTATTGTTATTATTAAGGATATATTGAGTATTAGATACTCAATTAATTGTTTTTAACCGATTGCCTGTATGTAATATTATATTTACATTATATGTATTATTTTTGTTAATTGTTACGAGTAGTTATAGTATCTCACAGCAATGTGCCTAATGACATTTATGTATTTCCTATGTTCCCTTCTATGTACCATGTATGAATATTATCCACAAACTAAACAACAAAAACAACCATAAACAAACGAACAAACAAACAAACCAACCAACCAACAACCGATCAAACAAAAAAACCAACCAACCAACAACATTATTAAATCATTAAACTGAACCAATTACAAACCATTTTGGTGCCCATTTGATTGTGCCTATACCTGCGTCTGCAACCGATCAACAATACCAACAACATCCAACAAATACTCCAATACGCCACCCCCTTGCCTACAACCAACCCACAACAACAATCATCTGGCATATTTACACACACACCTGCACGAAATATATGTACATGCATTTGATTGTTTGTCATTCAACAAATACACAATCAAATTCCACAGAAGAAACTCCGCCCCGGCGAAGTCATGGATACACGGGTAAGACATTCCAAATATACTAAAAGTCCAACACAATGCACATTTTTTGAGCTTCTCAGCTAGTTGGAAAATTAAATATGCAAGAAATATGGGATATAAATTTATAGACCAAGAGGTTAAATATTTTTTACCACTCATGCAAAGCCCATATGCAGCCCATCCTCCTTACAGAGTGAAATATAGTTATTCAGCACACGTAGGATAGTGTAAGTTACATATATATGTAGATGTAAGTTTTTATCTATACAAAAGTGAAGTTTATATACGTTCCAATGAAAGTTTCTTCCTAACACCAAAGATCGACCCGCCTTTTTTACTCACAATAGTAACTGTTCTGAACCCATTTAAACTGGGTATAAGGGTATATTATATTTGTGCAAATTCCAAATGTATGTAACAGGCAGAAGGAAGCATCTCCGACCCCATAAAGTATATATATTCTTGATCAGCACCAATAGCCGAGTCGATCTAGCCATGTCCGTCTTTCTGTCCGCCCGTCCGTCCGTCCGTCCGTCCGTAAGTATGAACGCAAGGATCTCAGAACCTATAAGAGCTAGAGACTTGAAATTTTAGATGTAGATTCTCCTAGTTCCCGCGCAGATCGAGTTTATTTCCGATAATCGATACTTACTCCGTTCAATCGATAAAAATCGATATCGATATCCTGTTTTTGGGCAATTTTAGATTTTTATCGATTGCTTGGAAACGGAGTAAGCTATCGATTATCGGAAATAAACTCGATCTGCGCAGGCACTAGGAGCTCTCTCTCTAGCTCTTATAGGTTCTGAGATCCTTGCGTTCATACATACGGACGGACGGATGGACGGTCAGACAGACGGACATGGCTAGATCGACTCGGCTATTGATGCTGATCAAGAATATATATACTTTATGTGGTCGGAGATGCTTCCTTCTGCCTGTTACATACATTTGGATGTTGCACAAACACAATATTCCCTTTTTACCCATTTTCAATGGGTTCAGGGTATAAACAACAACAACAGTAAAGTGATATCAATCTCTAACAATAGGGTTAATAAACGTTACACTACCTTTAGAAAAAATAATTACGATCCAAAATTTTCATTTTAGCTTAAAAGCTTCCAAACGATAGCAAAAATTCGGTAAACACAAGGCACATTTAATGCATTATTCAATATATAAATATATGTACTGCAACACAAAATGGCCTTCTCCTTGTCCACTCATGTGAGAGCGCTAATAATAGTTCTCTCGTTTTTGTTTTTCTTTTTTGCGAAAAGCAAAAGCAAGTGCGATATTTCTTCAGCACACATTGCACCCGCGAATGTGATTATGTATACCTGACTTTGGGACTCATTTTGATCCATAATTTATATGTAAACGAGAAAGTAATAATATTTTTGAAACGCCGGACATTTAATACCCTTATAGACATTTACCTATTACAGACATGTGAGAATAGTGAAACTTGTAAATGCTCAATATGATTAAAATATCTTAGAAAACAGAAAACATATATTTTCATATATGAAACTACCCTCCGACCGATCGATGCTGACCTAGAATATACGATATATAGTGGGTTCGGAGAGATCTCTTTCTGTGCGTTACACATCTTATGACAAGCGTATAATACCCTCTACAAGGGTACAATAATTCAAAATATTAGAATTTGAGAATTGGATTAAGAAATAATTTATCTGTGCACGTTTTGTTAATGAATGACGGATGAATGCGGGTACTAGAGATAAACTTGGCATTTTACAAAAGATGTATAAATAAATACTCTAAAATACCCATCTATATGTAGAAGCGATTAGATCGAAGGGAACGGCTGCAATAAATATGTATGATACTATATGTGCAAACCAGGGGCGTTGGGCTCGAGACTCAAAGCAAATTAATTAACATTCAGTTCTGTCTGTCGCGAGTGAAAGGCAAAATAAACGCGTGCAGTTCAGTCGTACCTAGGCCTTTAATCCGAGCAATTTGAGAATATTTTGATTTAACTATGTAAGGTCTTCTTAGTGCTTTCGTTACTTTGATTAGCCAAAGTAAAATTCATATGAGCATATGTAAGTGACGTTACTTATTTTCTCCACTGGACTTGTGTTATACCTAACTGTGTTATACCTTACAACTAACAATCATCGTCGTATATGTTATTTATATTCGGCGATTTTCATTCGAAAATTAAAATTTATTAAGCCGTTCCCTTTCATCAACATGCCCCAAATTCATGTTTACACACATACATTTTAGACAGCTCAAATTTAAGACATTATCTTGCACCTCTCAGTCGACTAACAAATTGAAATGCAATTGAATGTTGTCCAGTATTTTTAATTCAATTTAAAACCAATATTACAGTTGTTGAGGCCAGGCGAGGTTGGTGAAGGACAGGTGAGAGTTAGTTGTGCTTTTCTTTTCATTCGTAGTGTTTGGTCATATTTCTCTTAACAAACTTACTGTGAGATGCTCGGTAAATCTCAAATTCCACACACCAGCACCCTGAAATTGCACCAAAAATCAAAACATTTGCACTATATCTATCACTTGCATAAGATTTGCGAGCCCCAAATTCGTATATACCAATCAGAATACAATACTACTACTTACTATCACATCATCTTCAAATACATCTACAAAACGAAAATAATTAAAAACAACAAACACACACTCACACGGATACTTATACATTAATCTTAAGAAATCTAATAAGTGGTAAATAATTTCAAACTACTTATTTCTTGATATCTTCGAAACGCCGAAGATCAAATAGATATATAGAGGTTACGGCTATGTAGATAAGTGAGGCCAATTAAAATTGCTGATGTTGCTTAAGATATTTCATAAAAAGCAGTAAAGTTTTCCTTACAGTGAGCTACAGAACTATATGGAATAAATATAATGATAATTGTATGTTACATATAGCACATATGTAGATAGAGAGGAAATGTGTCTTTATAAACAAAGAACTTAGGTGATATAGTGGTCCGATCCGAAATACTAAAAGACGATTACATAGACTCTGATAGACAGACAAACATAGCAATATTGACTCGACCTTTGATACTGATGAAGAACATAAACTCTTAATGATAAATTTAGAATGAATTAAAATTGGTAAATGTTTAAAATACGAAATGATGTCTAGTAGATACGTATTGAACGGCTCATCGTAACATAAAATATAGAAACAAATCCATACACACAAAACTAAATTCATAAATCTGCATCTATTTCAATTAATCTTTAATGAGCAAGTCAGTCAAGCTACTAATATAAAAATTTTAATTGAATTATTTTTGCATCTTTCAATTTTTAATGACTGCAATTAAACCAAAGCAGATTTGCGTTTATTAAAACAAAGAAATACTGTTCTAATTACATACGTATATACTTTTGGGGCCGTTGAAGTGTGCCTTGAATAAACCAACGCAATATTTCGGATTATAAAAAAATAAGACTAACCCGATTCAAAAAATATGTTATTTTATTTGCTTGAATTAAATGTTATTTACCATAGCTACACTTAATATTATAAATATATTAGAGAAATAATGATAATGCCGGACGAGGCCTACAAGGTTTTGAGGAAAATTCTTACATTTTGGTCTTACTTAAATCCATCAGATTCTAAATCCATTACCCGTACTGCATGAATACATAGGTATAATTATTTCTACATCCGGGCATTTATTTATATCCTCTTTTTTTGATCTTGATAGCAAAAACAACAGCGACCCGGCGAAATGGGGGACACAAAACAGGTCTTAAATTGTGATCGAATGATCACATTTATTTTCAATTATTATCGCTTGTGTTCTTGTTGGTGACTGATTTGAAACATAATATTATGAAAGGCGTATATAACATTTAAGATTCATATATTGTAAATATTGAAGCAACCAAATCACGAATACCAATACGAGCGCATTGCATTTACATATATTTATACATATATGTATAAAATGTTCCGTACATTTGTACCGTTGTAAATTTAGTTGTGATTGACCCAAATCTTCAACCTTTCTATGTAAATAATACACGTATATATTTTTGGGTGGTTTTTTCTTTGGGGTACTGTGTTTTTTTTTTTTTAGTTTGTAGATTGCGTTACTTACTCGAATAAAACGTATGTATTTTAGAAAAGAGAATCTTCAAAATTAATGGGTACATAACCAGTTTAAGTTTTAGAAACTGTTCACGAACACAAGAACATTTGTATTAAACAATTAAACTTTTTACTAATCTTTACAATATTCTATCAATTTTAACGTGATTTATAACAATTACATTCCTCATCTTAGGTATCACTTGACTTATAACTAAAATCCATTAGAAACTAATCTAAAACTTTTGTATTCGCGTATTAGATTACATTTACATTGCATCGTATCAAAGTTACTTCAAAAGTATCTGATGGTAGTTTTAAGCATTGTGTTGTACACGTTGATGTTCAGTTTAGTAGTTGACATAATTCAAAATCTTTACCCTACTCCGCAGTATGCAGTATGCGTTTTGATTTTTCTTTTGTATATAATCCGTATTTTGGCGAGTGAATAACAATGTTCACGATTTGAATATGCTATGTACTTATTCACTGAAAAGTACAAAATGTATTAACTATCTGTCTTTTCTATATTTATGTTTTTTTCTGTTTGTGTCTGAAAACACTTTCCGCCCATTTTTGTTGATCGTAATCATCATGTAATTACCCACAAAAGCGGAGACGTCCCTCTATTGATGTGCGCAGACCCAGCGTTCAGGATTTAGAAGATCTTATAAATAAACCATCTACGCCACTGCGCGATATCGGCGATGGTGGTCCACCCACAATTATCGATGTTCAAGAGTCATACTCCGCGGTTGAAGGTATGTATCTCATTCGTACATAGTTAACAATGTTCTAAAAGCAAAAAAAAAATCACGTACTCGATTAAGATACGGTATGTATGTATATGTATCAGTATATAGTAAATGTGTGGATATGCACTATTGTGTACTCGCACGAGTGGCTAACCAATACATTATGTAAACCTCTTTTGTTTTGTACCCATGTATTTTCGTAGACTCGACGGCCTACCTTACAGTTGGTGTCGAGGGTAACCCAGCTCCCACATTCAAATTCTACAAAGGAGTTACAGAGATTATTGAAGGTGGTCGGTATAAGTTCCTCACAGATGGACAAACGAACACAATCACATTATGCATGCGTAAGTGCAAGCCCAACGATGAGGGCAAATATAAGGTTGTTGTTTCCAATATACACGGCGAGGACTCGGCCGAGATGCAGTTATATGTCTCCGATTCCAGTGGCATGGATTTCCGTGCCATGTTAAAGAAACGCCGTTATCAAAAATGGGACAAAGAAGAACAAGACCCCAATTGGGGCGATCTTAAAGAAACTGAAAAACCATTACCGGCTTTAAAGAAAGTCGAAAGGGTAAGATGCAGATTGCTTTCGGCTTACTTCATTTGCTTTATTACTTACTCATAGAGCTATACTGTGGTAATCCCTTAAAAGTTGCTGATCGCGGAAGCGGAAACGCGAAAATATTGATATACTGATAGCCTATTTACAAAAATTACCTATCGTCTTTAATATATTTTTTCATATTATATATTGCATTACCTATCTATTAAAATTGCAGTATGGATTTAATTATCCGCAGCCAATATCAAGTTGTTACATCTACATATTTGTCTGTCAGTCCCAGATACCAAAGTTTTCCGTTAATTTTAGTTTTTTTCTGATCCTTAATTTCTATATATCTGTCTGTCCCAGAGATCAAAGCTTTTGCTCATTTTTGTTTGTAACTAATACATAATTTAGTTTTAAACAATTTTTAGCAAATTTTAAATTGAGTAATTTACATTTTAATTTCGTTTATTTAGCCGTAGGCAAAACTCCATTTAAATTATAGACCGTCATATGCATATTGATAGCTTAACAATTTTATATATTAGTATAAGCTTGGCAGAATCTTCATTTCGTAACAAATCTTACACAGAGAGTTTTACAAAAGAAAATTAAAAATAGCTAAATTAATTTATTTACTAAAGCCTACTATTTCAACAACCTCAGATCATATTGCTCAATTCATGAAACAATATTGAAAAAAGATACTATATACATGTTAGCCAAATTGGTACTGGCAACTTGGTACTCAACTCAAAAATGAATTTTTAGATTAGTTAGCCGTTCAATTAAACCGTCAATTTCGCAGTTTTTAAAGAAGAATATTCGCAAATAAATTGCAAAATCAATTGGTAATGTTATAAGTACTACATTATCTCTTCACTATGTATGTTGTGTAATATGCAATACAGGCGCCAACATCACGTAGACCATCCCTAGCTGAGCTGATCCCCGATTGGCCGACGTTGCATCCGTTTCGACGTGAGGAGGTGCGGTTTACAATTCTGAGATATTTACTTAAATACTTATAACCCACAAATATAAATTCAATCAATAATTTACATTTTAATGTACTACAAATTAATTTTTCTAGTCAAAAGTAAACTCTTGTTTTTTGGCGATTTTGGTTTGAAACCGGATTTTTATTTTTCGTTATTTTTCAGAAGAGCCAAGCTAAAACCTTTATCGGTACAGTTTTCAAAAATTAATTTGGAATTTAATAGAATAAGCTTTCTTGTTAATTTACTTATTCTTCTCTGCTAGCGTCTTTGACAGGGCATTTGAATTTTGTTACCTATTTGGCGTTATACTTATAATACAACAGAATGAGATACATATATTCATATATATGTCTCTATTTTTACACTCATATTTTTACATAAATCTGTGATCCATATTTGCATACATCCTTATTCAATCATCCATAAGATTAGATATTACCATTAAAAAAGTTGTTTTTTGAAAAGTACTCGATAAATTTGCTATCGGTTATCAATAAATAAATAATAATTCGATATACGACACAGCCGAAACTAACCTTATGGGTTTTATTAATTTTTGTCCAATAATATGCAGATTAGCGAATTTCAAATCTGCATAGTTATTTAACAACGTGCAAATATTAAAGTACAATTATATATGTATAGAACACGTAAGCTTAGTATGACAATAAGTTGTGGTTCATTTGAAAATGTGTATATATGTATATATAGAAATATTATATGTGGGTACATATGTATTTAATAACTATTAGTGTATCACATGTGAATGGGCACAATTTATTGAAATACTTGAAAGAGAAATGTGTGCAGGTACTTACTTATAAAAAATGCCTTTCGCTTGGCTGATTAACAAAATATTGTTTTTTGGATCTTTGTTTCATTTAATTTCATTACTATTATTTTTTTAATAAATGATATTGCTCTAATCATTATCATAAGCGGCACCAGTACCTAATGTTTATAAATAGCACATATATGTTTTGCGACAAAGAATAAACGGCAACGGCAAAAACTTGGCGTTTATGAATGTCCACATATCTCTGCTATTTATTACTTATAAATTGCATTTGAGAATGAATGCTGATTAATCGTATATCAAATTTATTGTCGTTTAACGTCTTTACCCATTTTTGACAACGAAAAAAAAAAAAAAAAATATATATATATATATATATATATATATAAACAAACAACAAACAACAACAACAGAAGGTAGAATCTTTCCTTAGTCCACTGATCGATCAGTTCGCTAAGGAAGGCAAGGATAAGAAGGTTGTATTCGAGGCGAGATTCAGCAAACCCAACTGCAAACCCAAGTGGCTATTCCGAAAGGATGTAAGTATTACGTCATTATGAATAAAAGTGAAATTTATTAATGGCTTGGAGCTGTTATAAATATTTTCAATTTACATAGCTGAACATTTATTTAAAAAATATTAATTTTTTTAAATTATTAACTTCTAATAGGAGGTTTTTACAGGCAGCAAATTCAAATTCAAACAGGAGAATGATACATATCAGCTGATAATTAGTACACCAAAGGTAGAAGACAGTGGAAAATACACAATTGAGATCGGCGGTGTGTCTAGTACGGCATTCCTTAATGTCGAGGAAGCTGATCCCACATATACATTTACAAAGCCTCTCAAAAAGAAACTAGAAGGTTTTACACGGCATGAAACGACTCTGGAGTGCTCCGTTAGCAGCAGCATGGCGAATGTCAGCTGGTTTAAGGACAACCAAAAGCTGGAATCTGATGATCCACGTTATTTGATCTCGAAAGACATTAATGGCAATCTAAAGCTTATTATCAAAGAGTCAGTTTTGGAGGACGCTGGCCAATACAGATGCCAATTGGACAAGCAACCAGATAAAACGGAATGTGCCCTAAAGATAGTAGAGTACCCATATAAATTTGTCAAGGTGCTCAAATCACAGCAGTGCATTGAGAAGGACACAGTAACGCTTGCTTGCGAAATTGACGATGCTCAAGGTGATGTTCAATGGTTCCGCAATGGTGAGGAAATCAAGCCAGACAAGCGAATGCAAGTCGTCAAGGATGGCCGTAAGCGGAAGCTTATTATCAAGGATTGTAAAGTAACTGATGCCGGTCAGTTCAAGTGTACAACCAATGCTGATCAGACTGATGCAGAGATAATCATAAACTGTGAGTAAACATTTCGAAATGAACTTACATAATAATGGTATGCTTAAAGCTTCACAAGTATATGTTTTAATTGCTGTCAATTAATTATATTTAAGATCAAAACCGATTTAACAAGAAACTTAAGGACACTGATGCTGTGGAGCGAGAAAAACTAGTGTTAGATGTCGAGCTGCAGGACCAGACAGCCCCATGCGACTGGAAGTTCAATGGCGAACCAATAGTACCCAACGAGCGCATTGAAATCAAGAACTTGGGCGGTGGCAAACACCAGCTGGTTTTCAACGGTCTAGACTTATCCGACGCAGGTGAAATTACCTGTGAATCAGGACAGCTAACATCAACGTGTAAGCTTTCCGTACGAAAGGGGGAAAGCAGACCTAATATTGACTGTCCGGATGAGTTTGCAGAACCAATTAGTGCGCCAGTTGTCATTGAGGTGCCATACAAAGGTAATTAATAATAACACAATTGTGTATCGCATATTCTTGGTCAGCATCAATAGCCGAGTCGATCTTATTCGGATAACTTTCAAGTGTAAACAGACAGACAGACGACTACGCCTATGTCGATCTGGCTATCGATACTTATTATCAAGAATATATATATCTGTATAATATATTTTTTTGGATAGCAATAATTAGGCTAATACATGTTTATTTTCGTTTGTCTGTATATGTATATATTTCAATATTTATATCTGTGTTTATATAGTAAGCGGTACTAAGCAAACACCAGTGGAGGCAAAATTAATTAAAGACGGAAAGCCTTTGCCTGTCAAGGATGTCGAGGTTGCGATAACCGATGATAAAGTCACGTTTAAAATTAAAAAACCATCAAGGGATTTATCGGGACCTTATCAAATCAAAATTTCAAATGGACAAGGCGAAGATACTAAGGATGTTAACATTATTTGCCAAGACGTTCCACAGCCACCACAAGATGTTGATGTTACCGACGTATATCAAACATCGTGCGTGGTTAACTTTAAGCCACCGGCAGATGATGGCGGTTCTCCCATTACAAAATATGTCATCGAACGGCAAGACTTGAGCAAAAAACAGGGCTGGGAACCTGTCGCTGAGGTTCTACCAAATGAACCACGTCTCAAAAAGATTGATGACTTGGTGCCAAAGAAGCAGTACAGATTCCGCATTCGTGCTGTAAACAAACTTGGTCCATCTGACCCGGCAACATTTAAAAACTCCATACTTGCGAAAGATCCATGGGACGAGCCCGGCAAACCCAAGGCCGTTGACCTTACTGACTGGGATAAGGATCACGCTGATCTTAAGTGGGAGGCACCAGATAGTGATGGTGGCGATCCAATTACCTCCTATGTTATTGAATACAAAGAGAAATTTTCAAACGATTGGGTACCCGGCAAAGAAGTGCCGGGAGATGCTAGAACGGGCACAGTTGAAAATCTTAAGGAGGGCCAACAGTACGAATTTCGAGTCCGTGCTGTTAATCGGGCAGGTCCTGGCGAGCCTAGCGACAAGACTAAAGCCATTATAGCCAAATGCCGATTTGTTAAACCTTTTCTTGTTGGTGATGGTCTTAAAAATATTACTGTGAAAAAGGGACAGACCATACGCTATGATATTAAATACGATGGAGAACCAGAGCCAGTAGCTAGTTGGATAAAGTCCAATGAACCTCTCAAGTTTGATAATCAGCGTATCTGTCTCGAACAGCTTGAACGCAACTCATCGATAACTATCAAAAAATCTGTGCGTAATGACACTGGCAAATATAAGCTGGTATTGACCAACAGTTCGGGAACAATTGAATCTGAAGCACAAGTTGTGGTCTTAGATCGTCCGTTAGCACCAGGTGGTCCATTTGAGGCAGAAGAGGTTCGTGCTCATCGCATTAAGATGAAGTGGAAAAGACCCCCAGATGATGGTGGCTGTGAAATCACGGGATATGCCCTCGAACGCATGGATGAAGAGACTGGACGTTGGATACCCTCCGGCGAAGTTGGCCCAGACGAAACCTCATTTGACTTTAAGGGTCTTACTCCAAACAAAAAATATAAATTCCGCGTCAAAGCTATCAACAAAGAGGGTGAGTCCGAGCCACTGGAGACAACCGACGCGATTCTTGCCAAGAATCCCTATGATCCACCAAGCCCACCCAGCCAACCCGTAATTGATGATTATGATAATAAGAGTGTCTCGCTTAAGTGGAAACGCCCACCATCTGACGGCGGACGTCCTATTACCCATTACGTTGTTGAAATTAAGGACAAATTCTCGCCTACATGGAGTGAAGTAGCTAAAACAGAGGATCCAACACCCGAATGTAAGGTGGAGGGCCTTAAGGAAAAAATGATATATCAGTTCCGAGTGCGTGCAGTCAATAAGGCTGGTCCTTCGGAACCTTCTCAACCAACTGACAATCATCTTTGCAAGCATAAAAACCGTAAGTTATATTATAAGGTACATAAATGAAGCTTGGCTGCACCTATAATCTCTTTGTAGCACGTTTTATTTATTTTGCTTTGGCTTAACATACTATCAATGCATATGCTAAGAAATATTGCTTTCAGAATTGGTGCGCAACAGCTTTTTACACAACATGATCGTATTATATATGTTCGACCATCAGCCATTCGTAGTTCCTTTTTTCATAAAGATCTTAATAAAATAAACTCCAAACCTTCTCTTTGAACGCTTAAACAAAATCAGTATGAAACATGGCTCAAAACAAAAAAAAAAGAAAAGTTCTCTGTTCTGGGACATTGGCTAAGATAGGTGGGATCAAGGTTGAAAATCTCGAATATATGTTCAACATTTGATAATATTTATGCACTTAGTATATCGCTAAAATAAATTATTTTTACAGCATATCACATTTGCCTCACTGCTAGCGCTTTTATTATGTACGTATTTTAATAAATTAGAAATGATTCTCCCAAATATTATGACTTGAAGCTAACGTTGTTTTTGAATTACAAAAATTCTTGTCGTATAAACCTATAGTTAAGCCACAAATTGATAGATCGACGTTCAAGCGAGTGACAATCAAAAGCGGACGTACACACAAGTGGTCGGTTGATATTACCGGCGAGCCCGTACCCGAACTGCACTGGAGTTGGCGTGATGATATTCCGCTAACAACCGGGGATCGCATAAGTATTGAGAACGTAGATTATCACACGGACTTTGTTATCACGAATGCTAAGCGCCAGGACAGTGGATTTTACTCATTAAAGGCGGAAAACCGTAATGGGGTTGACCGCGAGACTGTTGAGCTAGTGGTTCTTGGTAAGCCCAGTTCTCCGAAAGGACCTCTTGCTGTCAGCGATGTCACAGCAACTGGATGTAAGCTGCAGTGGAAAAAACCGGATGATGATGGAGGCGTACCTATCAAGGAGTATGTTGTCGAAAAAATGGACACAGCAACAGGCAAATGGGTCAGGGTTGGCCGTTCGCCAGGCGAAAAGGAACCGCCAAGCTTTGATGTTACAGGCTTAAATCCCGGTTCCGAATACATGTTCCGCGTATCTGCTGTCAATGAGGAGGGCGAATCTGAGCCCCTGACAACGCTTGTAGGAGTTGTTGCCAAGGATCCATTTGATGAACCTAATAAGCCAGGCACCCCGGAAGTAACTGATTACGATAATCAGAGCATCAGCCTAAAATGGACACCCCCCAAAAACGATGGCGGTGCCCCAATACAAAAATATATCATTGAAAAGAGGGATAAGAATAAGCCAGATTGGGAAAAGGCTTTGGAAATCCCTGGTGACCAATTAGAAGCTACAGTTGCTGGTCTGCAAGAATATGGTGAATACCAGTTCCGTGTCATTGCTGTCAACAAAGCCGGTCCATCTCCACCATCAGACGCGAGCGTTCCGCAGGTGGCCAAGTACAAAAAATGTAAGTATATATCGTCTGTTTGTGTATATTGATTGACTGACAGAGTAAATCTATGATCTTTTTGAAGACATAGAGTCAAGATACAATATTTTGAATATACGTTCTCATATAGCATATGAAGATTACTAATAGATGTGTGCCTTGTTTTATAGTGAAACCTCGCATAGACAGGATTAATTTAAAGCCCCTGTTAATTCGCGCTGGTAAGCCCATAAAGTATGATGTGAATGTACGCGGTGAACCTGTTCCAACAATAACATGGTACCAAAACGACAAAGAACTCAAGCCTGAGGACCTGCCAAGCAATTGCGAAATTCAAAATATTCCTCACAATACAAAAATTTCTATTATTGATACTGTAAGAAAGCATACGGGCACATATAAGATTCGTGCTGTAAATGAACATGGTGAAGATGAAGCAGACGTTGAAGTAAATGTTTTGGCTCCTCCCGGTAAACCAAAGGGTCCTTTAACTGTTAAAGATATTACCAAAGATAGTTGTAAATTGAAGTGGCAAAAGCCCGACGATGATGGTGGTAAACCCATCACGGCTTACCAAGTCGAAAAATTCGATAAGAAACAAGGCCGGTGGGTACCTGTCGGTCGAGCCTCCGGAAATGATACCGAATTTGATGTCAAGGGCCTTCAGGAAGGCCATGAATATCAGTTTAGGGTTAAAGCCATCAATGAGGAAGGTGAATCCGAGCCTCTAGAGACCGATGGAAGTATATTAGCAAAGAACCCATATGATGCTGCCAGTAAGCCAGGTACTCCAAAGATAGATGATTACAATGAGCATATGGTAAAGCTAAAGTGGGAGGCTCCAAAGGACGACGGTGGTGCGCCAATCACTGGCTATATAATTGAAAAGAAGGATAAATTTTCACCCATTTGGGATGAAGTCCTCACTACGAATGTAAGTATTACTTTTATACAGAGTATTCTGTGTGATTAAGTACAGCATTTGTACATCTACATATATAAATTGCAAAAATTGTATGCTTATATACAATATTTAGACGCCTGCACCTGAGGCAACTGTCGATGGCCTTACCGAAGGAAACGTGTATCAATTCCGTGTCCGTGCAATCAATAAGGCCGGACCAAGTGAGCCCAGCGATGCAACGGAACCTCATTTGGCGAAGCCAAGAAATCGTAAGAAAACACATTTTGGAATACTTTTTTCAGCTAAAATATTAATAGAATGAGAGATAATGATTTGCTTATTTGCTGAATAATATTATAATATTTATTTTTTTCATTTTTGATTTCTGGTACGTATATGCATATGCTTGTTTTTATGTTAAGCCAAACATTAATTTTATTTGCCATCAATGCTCGTAGTAGAGCTTCTTTAATTTCACTTTCTGTACGTCTATTGTTAGTCAAATATTTATTCATATAAAATATCAAATAATACACTAATTATAGTGAAGCCAACTATAAACCGCGAAAAAATGAAGCCCGTGAAAGTACGAGCTGGCCAAACGGTTAAGTTTGATGTAGATGTTAAAGGAGAGCCGGCCCCTACTCTAACTTGGTCCTTCAAGGAAAAAGAAGTAACACCTAGTGGACAGTTGCGATTAGATAATGAAGATTATAATACAAAACTAGTATTATTGGACACAACACGGAAAGACAGTGGAGTGTATAAGCTTAAAGCTGAAAATATAAATGGTGTTGACGAGGCTGAAGTTGAAGTAATTATATTAGATAAGCCGGCAAAGCCCGAAGGACCCTTAGAAGTGTCTGATATACATAAAGAGGGTTGCAAGCTGAAATGGAAGAAACCCAAAGACGATGGAGGAGTGCCTCTATCAGGCTATGCTATCGAAAAAATGGATACAGCAACTGGTAAATGGGTACCATGTGGAACTGTAGATCCCGAGAAGACAGAGTTCGATGTTAAAGGCTTGGATCCAAATCATCGATATCAATTCAGAATTAAGGCCCTTAATGAAGAGGGCGAATCAGAACCACTCGAAACAGAATCGGCCATTACTGCTAAGAATCCATTTGATATATCTGCACCACCTGGCCTTCCAGAACTTGAGGATTGGGATGAGCACCATGTTAAATTAAAATGGGAACCGCCAATCCGTGATGGAGGCACTCCCATCACAAATTATATCATTGAGGTTATGGACAAAGATTCTGGGGAGTTCATAAAAGCAGCAGAAACAGAAGGTCCAATTTGCAAGGGTGTCGTGAAAAAGCTTGAAGAGGGTCAGCAATATAAATTCCGTGTTCGCGCTGTAAACAAAGCTGGTCCTTCGGAACCATCAGAGCAAACCAATTGGCATACGGCAAAGCCGCGCTTCCGTAAGTTATTTTGAAGCATAATAATTATCATGGCCATTTATTATTCTTTTTGTGTTTATTCTGAACAGTGAAGCCACATATAGATCGAACAAACCTGAAGCCTGTTATTGTGAAAGCAGGCTTATCGATCAGCTTGGATATTAATGTTAAGGGTGAGCCAGCTCCAAAGGTGGAATGGCTGTTCAATGGATTACCTGTGATCAGTGATGAGGAAGGAATTAAAATCGACAATGTTGACTATAATACGAAATTCTTTGTTATGCGAGCCAAACGTCCTCAGAGTGGCAAATACACTATTAAAGCTACAAATGAGGTCGGCGAGGACGTTGCCGAACTAGATGTGACTGTATTGGGCAAGCCAGGTAAGCCAAAGGGTCCTCTGCAGGTCAATGATATGACAAAGCACAGCTGTAAGCTGAAATGGGAAAAGCCTGAAGATGATGGTGGCGCACCAATTGACTATTATGAAATAGAAAAACTTGATCCACATACTGGCCAATGGCTTCCATGTGGCAAGAGTGCCGAGCCTGAAGCGAAGGTGATTGGTTTACATGAGGGCAAGCCCTATAAATTCCGTGTTCGCGCTGTCAATAAAGAGGGAGAGTCTGAGGATCTGGAAACAGATAAGCCCGTTATTGCTAAGAATCCGTTTGATGAGCCAGACAAGCCTGGTCGACCAGAGCCTACTAATTGGGATAAGGACTTTGTTGACTTAGCTTGGGACCCACCCAAAAACGATGGTGGTGCTCCTATCCAGAAATACATAATCCAAATGCGTGACAAATCCGGACGCGCATGGATAGACGCGGCTACAGTTCCTGGTGACAAACCCAAGGGCACTGTAACGGCTGTTGAAGAAGGACATGAATACGAGTTTCGCGTTGTAGCTGTTAATAAGGCTGGTCCCAGCGAGCCCAGCGATGTTTCTAAATCGGTTGTAGCGAAACCTCGGTTCTTGAAGCCCCATATTGATCGAAAGAACTTACAAAAGAAAATCATGCGAAGCGGTCAAATGTTGCACATGGATGCAGCTGTTAAAGCAGAACCGCCAGCCAAAATAGCTTGGACCTACAATGGAGCCGAAATTAAGACCAGCGACAAGATCAAAATTGAGAACGAGGAATACAAAACAACATTTATAATGCCAAAAGTTAGGCGTTCCGATAAAGGTACATACATTGTGACAGCTAAAAATGATTCCGGCGTAGACACCGTAGAGGTCGAGCTTGAAGTATTATGCAAGCCAAGCAAGCCAAATGGTCCTTTGGCCGTGTCCGATGTTACAGCCGAAAGCGTTCACTTGAAATGGGATAAGCCAGACGATGATGGTGGCGAGCCCATAGAACATTACGTTGTTGAGCGTATGGATACAGAAACAGGTCGATGGGTACCAGTTCTAACGACTAAAACACCTGAAGCGGACGTTACTGGTCTAACTGAAGGCAAGGAATACCTATTCCGAGTTAAGGCTGTGAATGCCGAAGGAGAGTCAGAGCCTCTGGTAACAGATACTCCAGTCACGGCGAAAAATCCATACGATGCCGCGGATACACCTGGTAAGCCACAAATTACCGACTGGTCAGCAAATCATGCAGATCTTAAATGGCGTGCTCCCGACGACGATGGAGGTGCACCTATTACTGGATACATTGTTGAAAAGAAAGATAATAATACCGGGAAATGGCAAAAGGTTTTGGAAACAAATACGCCCGACTGCAAAGCTCGTGTTAACGATTTAATCGAAGGCACCAAATATCAGTTCCGCGTAAAAGCTGTTAACAAAGCAGGTCAAAGTAAGCCATCCGAAGCCTCAGACCAAATGACCGCCAAGGATCGCTTCGCAGCACCCAAAATTGATAGAACCAATATTAAGGATATCACAGTTAAGGCCGGCCAACATATTCGTTATGACATCAAGATTTCTGGCGAGCCGCCACCAAGCAAAACATGGTTCCATAATAAAGCCCGCATTGATGACGATGACTACAATATTGACATTGAGTCGTATCGCACAAAACTAGCCGTACCTTTTGCAAAGCGATTACACACCGGTAAATATACCATTAAAGCCGAAAATGAGTCGGGCCATGATGAAGCTTCATTTGAAGTAACGGTTCTGGATAAGCCTGCACCACCAGAAGGTCCGCTACGTGTGACAGATGTTCACAAAGAAGGATGCAAGCTGAAATGGAACCCACCTCTGGATGATGGTGGTCTACCTATAGAACACTATGTTGTTGAAAAAATGGACGTGGAAACCGGACGCTGGCTACCCTCTGGTCGCTTTAAGGAACCATTCGCTGAATTGAGTAACTTAGAGCCCGGTCACGAATATAAATTCAGAGTACTAGCTGTAAATACTGAAGGAGAATCAGAACCCTTAGTCGGTGAGCATTCTATAGTTGCAAAGAATCCATTTGATGAACCCGGCAAGCCCGGCACTCCGGAGCCAGTTGATTGGGACAAAGATCGTGTGGATTTGGTTTGGCGGCCACCACTTAATGACGGTGGATCACCGATTACCGGTTATGTTGTTGAAAAGCGTGAAAAGGGCACAGATAAATGGATTAAAGGAGCGGAAATTAACGCCCCTGCGCTCGGTGAGGAATGCAAAGCTTCAGTGCCAAACCTTGACGAAAACTGCGAGTACGAGTTTAGAGTTAAGGCCATCAATGCAGCTGGTCCTGGCGAACCATCGGATGCGAGCAAATCGGTCATAACTAGACCAAGAAAGTGTAAGTTATTAGTTCTTATTTTATTTTAGTTCTTATTTTTCAAATATGTTATATTTAATTTCAACAGTGGCACCAAAGATTGACCGCAAAAATATACGTACCTATAATATCAAGGCAGGTGAGCCAATTTTCCTGGATATTAATGTCAGTGGTGAACCAGCTCCCGAAATAAGTTGGACTCAAAATGGCAAAATCGTTTACTCGACACCCGTAAGCAAAATCGAAAATGTTCCCTACAACACCAAATACATCAACAGTAATCCAGAGCGAAAGGATACCGGATTATATAAAATTGCCGCGCATAATCTTTATGGTCAAGATCAAGTCGAATTTCAGATTAATATCATAAGTAAGTACATACTGGTATATCTGATTATACTCGGGCCTTCTTTAAATTAAATACCTCTTAATTTTTTTTTGTCGATGGGGTGGGTAACTTAAAATCGGAGCAATAATTAACGATCTCATTTGTTTTCTAATTGAAATATAAAAATAAATAATCATTCTATTAAAAAATTGCAGCTAAGCCCGGCAAGCCCGAGGGCCCGCTGGAAGTATCCGACATTCACAAGGACGGCTGCAAACTGAAATGGAAAAAACCAAAAGATGATGGCGGCGAGCCAATCGACAGTTATTTGGTCGAAAAATTCGACCCCGATACAGGTGTTTGGTTACCTGTAGGTAAAAGTGATGTACCAGAAATAACAGTTGATGGCCTGATACCTGGTCACGAGTACAAGTTCCGAGTGAAGGCAGTGAACAAGGAAGGCGAATCTGAACCACTTGAAACTTTGGGATCAATTATCGCTAAGGATCCATTCAGTAAGTATATATGAAGAATGCATTTTCTGTAGCTTGTAAGTTGATGTGGAAGAAGGGAATCTAATAAACGTGTACTTTACAGCGGTACCTTCAAAACCAGGAGCGCCAGAACCTACTGACTGGACTGCCAATAAAGCAGAGCTCTCATGGAATGAACCAGCTAGCGATGGTGGATCACCCATTACTGGATATATTATTGAAATTAAAGACAAGTACAGTCCACTATGGGATAAGGCTTTGGAAACCGACTCTCCTGCACCAGTCGCTACTGTCAATGGTCTTATTGAAGGAAATGAATACCAGTTCCGAGTAATTGCCCTAAACAAGGGCGGCCAATCCGAGCCCTCTGAGGCGAGCAAGACATTTATTGCAAAGCCGCGCTACCTGGCTCCCAAAATAGACCGAAGAAACCTACGCGACGTAACGATATCGGCAGGAACCGCTCTAAAGTTAGATGCAGTTATTACGGGCGAACCGGCACCAAAGGTGGAATGGAAATTCTCGAATTACCTATTGCAATCTGGAAAGAACACTACAATCGAAACACCTGACTACTACACCAAACTAGTAATTCGACCAACTCAGCGAGGTGACTCCGGAGAATATTTAGTAACAGCAACAAACAGCTCGGGCAAAGACAGTGTGCTTATCAACGTCAACATTACCGATAAGCCAACGCCACCTAATGGACCGCTTCAAATATCTGATGTGCATAAGGAAGGATGTCATCTGAAATGGAAGCGACCTAACGATGATGGAGGCACCCCAATTGAGTACTTCCAAATCGATAAGTTAGATCCCGAAACTGGATGTTGGCTACCATGCGGCCGATCAACGGAGCCTCAGGCTGACATTACGGGTCTTACGCCCGGCAATGAATATAAATTTAGAGTGTCAGCTGTTAATGCAGAAGGCGAATCAGCTCCGTTAGTTGGCGAGGAATCGATAATTGCCAAAAATCCGTTCGACGAACCAGGTAAACCGGAAAATCTAAGGGCAACTGATTGGGATAAGGATCACATCGATTTGGCATGGACACCTCCACTCAACGATGGTGGATCTCCTATAACTGGTTATCTTGTTGAAAAGAAAGACAAATATGGACAGTGGGAGAAGGCACTGGAAGTTCCAGCAAATCAATGCAAAGCTACTGTTCCTGATCTAACTGAAGGTGAAGCCTACGAGTTCCGCGTTAGCGCTATTAATGCCGCTGGTCCAGGTGAGCCATCTGATGCAACGGCTCCAATTGTAGCAAAATCACGCAATAAGCCCCCAGTTATTGATCGCTCCAATCTAATCGAAGTCCGTATCAAGGCTGGACAAGCATTTACATTTGATTGCAAGGTCTCTGGAGAACCAGCACCAAAAACTAAATGGCTACTTAAAAGGAAAGAGGTATATTCGAAAGATAATCTCAAGGTTACCCATGTCGATTACAATACCAAGCTGAAAGTTACAAATGCGACACGCTCTGATTCTGGTCTCTATACAGTGCATGCTGAAAACTATAACGGTGAAGACAGTGCTGACGTTAAGGTAACTGTTATTGATAAGCCATCACCTCCGAATGGCCCACTTAAGGTGGAGGATGTTCATGCAGAAGGATGCACGCTCAACTGGAATCTACCGGACGATGATGGCGGTCAGCCTATTGAAAACTATGTTGTTGAAAAAATGGATGAAGCAACTGGCCGCTGGGTACCAGCCGGGGAGACAGATGGACCAGTCACCAGCCTCAAAGTAAAGGGCTTAACGCCAGGGCATAAATATAAGTTTAGAGTACGTGCCAAGAATCGTCAGGGCACATCAGATCCACTTACCACACCTCACGCGACTGAAGCTAAAAACCCATACGACGAGCCTACCAAACCAGGTACACCATCAATTAAAGATTTTGACAAAGATTTTGTTGACTTAGAATGGGCAAGGCCTGAAAGCGATGGTGGATCCCCAATAAGCGGTTACATAATTGAAAAGCGTGATAAATACTCACCAAATTGGGAACCGTGCGCAGAGATCGATGGCGATGTAACCAGCGGACATGTGCCTGACTTGATTGAAGGTGTTAAATATGAATTCCGTGTAAGGGCTGTGAACAAAGCTGGCCCGGGTGTTCCTAGCGATGCAACTGAACCTCATGTTGCGCGTGCAAAGAACGTGGCACCAAAGATTGATAGGAATTTCATGTTAGACATTAAAACTCGAGCTGGAAACGTATTTGAATTCGATGTACCAGTTAGTGGAGAGCCAATTCCATGCAAGGAATGGACTCATGAAGATAACATGGTTATAAATACAGATCGTGTGAAAATTTCAAATTACGAAGATCGTACAAAATTACGAATTATCGATGCTAAACGAGCAGATACGGGATTGTACACTTTGGTTGCTCGTAATATTAATGGCATTGATAAGCATACTGTGAAAGTGACAGTCTTAGATGTACCAACTGCACCTGAAGGTCCACTACGTGGCGATGAAGTCACCAAAAACTCTATGACGTTACGGTGGCGACCACCCAAAGATGATGGCGGTTCCGAGATAACTCATTATGTAGTTGAGAAAATGGATAATGAAGCAATGCGCTGGGTACCAGTTGGCGAATGTGCTGGCACTGAGGTACGTGCTGACAATCTCATTGAAAACCATGATTATAACTTTAGAGTGCGTGCTGTAAACAAGCAAGGACAGTCTCAACCATTGACTACTTCCCAAGCCATTACGGCTAAGGACCCATACTCGCATCCGGATAAGCCAGGTCAACCACAAGCTGCTGATTGGGGTAAAGACTTTGTGGACTTGGAATGGGCCGCACCGAAACGTGATGGTGGCGCACCAATTACTTCATATATTGTGGAAAAGAGACCCAAATTCGGGCAATGGGAGCGGGCTGCTGTGGTACCCGGCGATGAGCGAAAGGCCCATATACCCGATCTAACTGATGGCGGGGAGTATGAGTTCCGGGTAATCGCTGTAAATCGTGGTGGACAGAGCGATCCATCCGATCCTTCTGGTACTATTGTCTGCAAGCCTCGTTTCCTGGCTCCATTCTTCGACAAGTCGCTATTAGATGACATAACTGTACATGCTGGCAAGCGGCTGGGTTGGACGCTTCCAATAGAAGCTTCTCCTCGACCCACCATCAAATGGCTATTCAATGGCAAAGAAATTGAGCCAAGTACCCGAATTGAGTCAAATCTTTTCCAAAATGAGCTGACCTTTGAAATACCATCGGCACTTCGAACAGATGAGGGTCGCTACACATTAATACTAAAAAACGAGCACGGCTCATTTGATGCATTGGCACATGCAACCGTTCTCGATCGGCCATCACCTCCAAAGGGTCCACTGGACATATCAAAAATCACAAGGGATGGCTGCCATTTGGCATGGCATGTTCCAGACGATGATGGCGGCTCACCAATATTGCATTACATTATTGAAAAAATGGATTTGTCTAGAGGTACATGGTCAGATGCTGGCATGAGTACACATCCTGTCCATGATGTGATAAGACTTGTACATCGCAAAGAATATTTATTCCGTGTTAAGGCGGTCAACGCAATTGGCGAATCCGAGCCATTGGAAGCTTCCAAGAGTATAATTGCTAAAAATGAGTTTGATGAGCCCGATGCACCAGGTAAACCAATTGTCACCGATTGGGATCGCGATCATGTTGATCTACAATGGGCCGCGCCAAAATCGGATGGTGGTGCACCTCTAAGCGAATATATTATACAAAAGAAGGAAAAGGGCAGCCCATATTGGGTGAATGTTGTACATGTACCACCAAACAAAACAGCAGCAACCGTTCCGGATCTCGTCGAGGGGCAAGAATATGAGTTTAGAGTAATTGCCGTTAATCAAGCTGGCCAGTCAGAGCCATCTGAGCCATCCGAAATGATAATGGCTAAGCCACGCTTTTTGGCGCCGAAGATCATAACACCACTGCATGAAGTGCGTATTAAGGCTGGACTTATATTCCACATCGATATCGATTTCATTGGCGAACCAGCGCCAGAAGCGATTTGGACTCACAAATTCAATCCATTAAAGTCGAATGAAAGATCGACCATTACCACAATAGGACACCACACGGTAGTCCATACAGTCAATTGTCTACGCTCCGATTCTGGTATTTATCATTTGCTATTACGTAATGATTCTGGCATAGACGAGGGTAGCTTCGAACTAATTGTTCTGGATCGTCCCGGTCCACCAGATGGCCCATTAGAGTATGAAGAAATAACTGCTAACTCTGTTACTATATCTTGGAAGCCACCAAAGGATAATGGAGGCTCTGAAATATCAGCATATGTCATTGAGAAACGCGACTTAACACATGGAGGAGGTTGGGTGCCAGCCGTTTCCTTTGTTAACGCAAAGTATAACCATGCGGTTGTCCCAAGACTTCTAGAGGGTACAAAATACGAATTTCGAGTAATGGCTGAAAACTTGCAGGGACGTTCCGATCCACTAACATCGGAGCAACCTGTTGTTGCTAAAAACCAATACACCGTACCTGGAGCACCCGGAAAACCAGAATTATCTGACAGCGATAAGGATCATATTACTATTAAATGGAAACAGCCCATCAGCAATGGGGGCTCACCAATACTTGGCTACGATATTGAGCGACGCGATGTCAATACTGGTCGATGGATTAAAATCAATGGTGAACCTGTACCAACAACCGAATATAGAGATGATAGAGTATCACCAAATCATCAATATCAATACAGGGTGTCTGCTGTTAATGCAGCAGGAAACAGCAAGCCTTCAGAGCCATCTAGCACATTCAATGCTCGGCCAATGCGAGAGAAGCCAAGACTCTATCTGGATGGCTTGGTTGGCAGACGTATTAAGGTTCGTGCTGGGGAGCCCGTCAATGTTAATATACCAATATCTGGTGCACCAACGCCAACGATCGAATGGAAGCGTGGCGATGTGAAGTTGCCGGAATCGAAAAACGTCTCATATGATACGAATTCGGAGCGAACCATTTTCCGCATTGACGATTCTACCAGACAGGACTCTGGGTTATATAAAATTACAGCAACTAACGAATTTGGCAAAGACTCTGCCGATATCGATGTAGTTGTTGTTGACAAGCCGACGCCACCTGAAGGTCCATTAACCTACACTGAGACTGCTCCTGATCACATTTCATTGCAATGGAGTCTACCAAAAGATGATGGCGGTAGCGAGATAACTGGCTATATTATTGAATTTACCGAGTTCGGTGTTGATGACTGGAAGCCCGTGCCTGGCTACTGTCCGAAAACTAATTACACTGTAAAAGGACTTACCGAAGGCAAAAAGTATGTGTTCCGTGTTAGGGCTGAAAACATATATGGTGTTTCTGATGCTTTGGAAGGGAAGCCTGTGGTAGCAAAGTCACCATTTGACCCGCCAGGTGCGCCCTCACAGCCGCAAGTCGTGGCCTATACGCCCAGCTCAGCATCTTTGGAATGGCATCCACCAGACTATTGCGGTGGCAAGCCGATTTCCGGATATATTGTGGAAAGAAGAGAGCGCGGTGGCGAATGGATTAAATGTAATAACTATCCAACACCGAACACCAGCTATACAGTACCCGACTTGCGTGAAGGTGCCCGATATGAATTCCGCGTAATAGCGGTCAATGAGGCTGGCCCAGGTAGCCCATCCAAGCCATCGGAACCTATGACCGCTGAACTGCAGCGCTATCGTCCCGACCCACCCGAACCACCAAAGCCAGATCGTATCACAAAGGATAGTGTCACATTATCCTGGCGGCCACCGCGAAACGATGGCAAATCCAAAATCAAAGGATATTACTTTGAAATGCGCCCCAAAAATTCGAAAGATTGGAAACCTGTTAATGACATACCAATTCATTCAACTGTGTTCAGAGTACCGGATTTAAAGGAAGGCGAAGAATATTCGTTCCGAGTCATTGCTGAAAATGATGTGGGCCGCTCAGATCCTTCGAAGCCGTCACAGCCCATTACGATCGAAGAGCAACCAAATAAACCACACATGGATCTAGGAGGTGTTCGCGATATTATTTGCCGGGCAGGCGATGACTTTAGCATTCATGTACCATACGTGGCTTTCCCAAAACCCACTGCATCATGGTACTCAAATGATACTGTGTTGGATGATGACCAACGTGTGCACCAACACTTAACTGATGAAGCTGCTTCGTTTGTGGTAAAGAATTCGAAGCGTTCAGACTCAGGGCAATATCGTTTGCAACTTAAGAATCCATCAGGCTTCGATACGGCTACCATAAACGTAAAGGTTTTGGATCGACCTGGTCCACCAACTAATTTACGGGCTGATGAATTTGCGGGTGATTCTTTGACATTGTATTGGAACCCTCCAAGAGATGATGGTGGTTCCCCCGTTCAAAATTACATTATTGAGAAAAAAGAAGCGCGATCCTCTACGTGGACCAAAGTAAGCAGTTATTGTACGGTACCATTTGTGCGTATACGTAATCTTTCAATTGGTAAAGAGTATGATTTCCGCGTTATTGCCGAGAATAAATACGGCCATTCGGATCCAGCGAATACTTCCGAACCCATTAGAGCAAGACATCCATTTGACGTACCAAATGCACCTGGAATACCGCGTGGCATTGACTCTACAGAGGACAGCATAACCATTGCCTGGTCTAAGCCCAAGCATGATGGTGGATCGCCAATTACAGGATACATAATTGAGAAACGCCTGTTGAGCGAAGACAAATGGACCAAGGCCATTCATGCCCTCTGCCCAGATCTGACTTGTAAGATACCCAACATGATTGAGAATGCTGAATATGAATTCAGAGTGGCTGCTGTCAATGCAGCGGGTCAATCGCCTTTCAGTGCGTCAAGCGATTTAATTTATTGTCGCCGGCCACCACATGCTCCCAAGATAACATCTGACTTATCAATCCGCGATATGACTGTTATTGCCGGAGAAGAGTTCCATATTACAGTGCCATACCATGCGAATCCTCGACCGGTACCGTCTTGGAATATCAATGGCATCGAAGTGTCTCCCGATGAGCGCATCCGATTTGATACTGATGATTATAGCTCCGTATATCACAATAAATGCGCCAAACGCTCTGAATCTGGATCGTATACAATTACTTTGGCAAACAGCAAAGGCTCTGACACGGCATCATGTCATGTGACTGTTGTCGACAGACCTGGCCCACCACAAGGTCCATTAAATGCCTATGATATTACTCCAGATACTTGCACACTCGCCTGGAAGACTCCACTCGACGATGGAGGCTCACCAATCACAAACTATGTTGTGGAGAAATTGGACACCAGTGGAACATGGGTGAAGGTTAGTAGTTTCGTTCGAAATACCCACTATGATGTTATGGGTCTGGAGCCTAATCATAAATACCATTTCCGCGTTCGAGCTGAGAATCAATATGGATTATCAGATCCGCTCGAAATACCGGAACCCATTACAGCCAAACATCAGTTCACTGTTCCCGATGAGCCTGGCCAGCCCAAGGTAATTGATTGGGACTCTGGCAATGTTACATTGATATGGACTCGGCCTGCAACTGATGGCGGCTCTCGCATTCAAGGTTACCAAATTGAATACCGGGACATTGTTAATGACTCCTCGTGGAATACGTATGAGTACTTAATAAAAGACACAAAATATCAATTGTACAACCTAACGAATGGTAGCGAGTACGAATTCCGAATTAAAGCGAAGAATGCTGCCGGCTTCAGTAAGCCATCGCCACCATCCTTAAGATTCAAACTGAAGGGCAAATTTAATGTACCCGCGCCACCAGGCACTCCGCAAGTAACGAAAGTGGGCAAGAATTATGTCGACCTCAATTGGGAGAAGCCAATCAGCGATGGCGGATCCCGTATCACGGGTTACATAATCGAACGTAGAGATATTGGCGGTGCTGTGTGGGTAAAATGTAATGATTACAACGTTTTAGATACCGAATTCACTGTCATCAACCTTATCGAAATGGGCGATTATGAATTCCGCATTTTTGCCATTAATGCTGCAGGGCGGTCAGAGCCAAGTCTATGCACAATGCCTATCAAAGTATGCGAAGTTTTGGGCGGCGAAAAACCAGATTGGATATCGCGATTGCAGGACAGAATAGCACCTTCTGGCAAAGATTTTACATTGCAATGTGCTGCCTCGGGGAAACCAAGCCCCACAGCAAGATGGCTAAGGAACGGAAAGGAGATACAGATGCAACCTGGAGGCCGATTTACATGTGATAGTAAAGAAGGTGTTTTTAGGCTACACATATCAAATGTACAATCCGGCGATGATGGTGACTACACTTGCGAGGCAATTAACTCACTTGGATTTGTGCATACGTCTGGATATCTTAAAGTAGGCTCCCCGCCGATAATAAACAGATGCCCGAGTGAGTTGTATCTACCAGAGGGCGATAATACAAAGATCAAGATCTACTATTCGGGCGACCAGCCACTTTCTGTGAAGATAACTAAAAACAACGAGCTTATCTCCGATGTGGCTGATGAATCACATTTCAAATATACTATCTTTGATGATTATATTGTTATATTTATACGTGATATTGTTAAAAGTGACGCTGGCAACTACCAAATCGAGCTCAGCAATGATTCTGGAAGTGCCACAGGACATTTTGATGCACGTATTACTGGCCTGCCATCGGCACCCGTTGGGCCTATGGGAATTTCGCACATTAATAAGCACTCGTGCACCTTGGCTTGGCGGCCACCAGCTTACGATGGTGGCCTTAGGATAACACATTATGTGGTCGAACGTAAAGATATAACGTCTCCACACTGGATAACTGTGTCAAGCTCTTGCAAGGATACATCGTTTAATGTGCAGGGCCTACTTGAGAACCAAGAGTATATATTCCGCGTAATGGCAGTAAATGAGAACGGCATTGGGTCACCATTAGAAGGCTTGAATCCAATTCGTGCCAAGGCACCAATCGATCCGCCCTCACCGCCGGGCATTCCAGAAATCACAGAGATTGGCGGAGACTTTGTCCATTTGGAATGGGCTAAGCCAGAATCGGATGGTGGTGCACATATTCAAGGCTATTGGGTTGACAAACGTGAAGTTGGCAGCGATACCTGGCAACGGGTTAACCCCATCATTAGCGCTGCCAACCAAATTAACTGCCATAATCTGATTGAAGGGCGTCAGTACGAATTCCGCGTTTTCGCCCAGAACATCGCTGGCTTATCGAAGGAATCAACCGCTTCTCAGGTGGTTAAGATTGTAGATCCTAAGGCGGCAACGGCTCCAATTATTGTTAAGCCTCTACGCGATGCAAATTGCATACAAAACCACAACGCACAGTTTACATGCACAATTACTGGCGTTCCGCGACCAACTATTACCTGGTATAAGGGAGCGCGTGAGATAACAAGCGGAGCTCGCTATCACATCTACTCTGAGGGCGACAATCATTTCCTCAACATTAACGATGTGTTTGGAGAGGACGCTGATGAATATGTTTGCCGTGCTGTTAACAAAGCTGGCGCCAAGTCAACTCGTGCAGCTCTTGCCATTATGAGTAAGTATTTGGGTTTAACGATTCACTCTGATATTTTAACCCACATTTTTCGTCCGGTTTCCCGGCAATAATAGCTGAGTCGATTTATAAGTACGAGAACTTCCAATGATCGATAGCTTGCCTCGTTTCCATAAAATCAATAACGAGAAAGTTGGGATATCTTCGGCATTCCGAAGTCATAATACCCATGTGGAGCTAATAAATCCTGAGTTTTGTGAAAATATCTTGAAAAATATACTGTGCCATTGAAATATTCATTTTTTGACCGATATAGATAGATAGATATATTTATATATACATAGTCAAGCAAATCAGTCAGTCAGTCGCTCAGAACAAACAGTTTTATGTATAGAGATAATTAAATTCTTGTAATGATTTAATGGCATTTACATTTTACAGCTGCACCAAAGTTGAACGTCCCACCACGATTCAGAGACACTGCATACTTTGATAAGGGTGAAAATGTTGTGATTAAAATACCCTTCACTGGTTTCCCTAAGCCACGCATACACTGGGTCAGAGAAGGTGAAAATATCGAATCTGGCGGTCACTACAATGTTGAGGTAAAGGAGCGACATGCCGTGTTGACTATTCGTGATGGGTCGCGTTTAGACTCCGGCCCATATCGAATCACAGCGGAGAACGAACTGGGCTCGGATACAGCTATAATCCAAGTTCAAATAAGTGATAGACCAGATCCGCCACGCTTCCCGTTGGTCGAAAGTATTGGAACAGATTCGTTGTCCCTGAGCTGGAAGGCTCCCATCTGGGATGGCGGCAGCGATATTACAAATTACTATGTTGAGCGCCGTGAGCATCCGCTTTCTTCATGGATACGTGTAGGCAACACGCGTTTCACATCAATGGCTGTTACTGGTTTGACGCCAGGCAAGGAATATGACTTCCGAGTTTTCGCCGATAATGTCTACGGCCGCTCTGATGCATCAGACATAAGCACATTGATCAAAACAAAGGAATCGATCAAGAAAAAGCCAGTCGAGCGTAAGTGGGAATTGGATGAGAGTGGTAAAAGGATACGTGGCAAGGCCGACGGCCCAATTAAAGATTACGATTCATATGTATTTGACATATACTCGAAATTTGTGCCACAGCCTGTTGAAATTTCGCACGATAGCGTTTACAATAGATACGATATTCTTGAGGAGATCGGCAATGGAGCGTTCGGAGTTGTACACAGATGTCGGGAGCGTAACACTGGAAATATATTCGCTGCCAAATTTATACCTGTATCGCATGCTGTTGAAAAAGACCTGATTCGGCGTGAGATCGACATTATGAATCAGTTACATCACCAAAAACTAATAAACCTACACGATGCGTTTGAAGACGATGACGAAATGGTCCTCATACTAGAATTGTGAGTATATCTACATATTTATCTCTATCTATTTTCTAAGCATATAATGATAAATATACTTGCAAATGTGTGTTTATCTTTTTTTTTTCTTTCACAATATTTAGCTTATCTGGTGGAGAACTATTTGAGCGCATTACGGCTGAGGGTTACGTGATGACTGAAGCGGAAGTTATTAATTACATGCGGCAAATCTGCGAAGGCATCCGGCATATGCATGAGAAAAATATTATCCACTTGGATATTAAGCCAGAAAATATAATGTGCCAGACTCGCACCAGTACTAACGTCAAACTCATTGATTTCGGTTTGGCCACACGGTTGGATCCAAACGAGGTGGTCAAAATCACAACTGGCACAGCCGAATTTGCAGCTCCCGAAATTGTCAACCGAGAACCAGTTGGATTTTATACGGATATGTGGGCAACGGGAGTGCTGGCCTATGTTCTGTAAGTGGATTCATATTTTAATAATACTATATATATATATATAAATAATAAAATAACTATTAAAAACAATTTCCATTTCATATATAGCTTAAGTGGACTTTCGCCATTCGCTGGAGACAACGATGTACAGACACTTAAGAATGTTAAAGCCTGTGATTGGGATTTCGATTTGGAAGCTTTCAAGCACATTTCCGATGAGGGTAAAGATTTTATACGCAAACTTCTTATTGCCAGCAAAGAGAAACGAATGACTGCCCACGAATGCCTTTTGCATCCATGGTTAACGGGAGACCATAGAGAGCTCAACCAAAAGATTGCTCGCGATCGCTATCTAGCATACCGCGAGAAACTGAGAAAGAAGTACGAGGACTTTGGAAAATATCTACTGCCGATTGGTCGCTTGTCTGAGTATTCATCACTGCGAAAACTTCTAATGGAAAAATATAAAATGCATGATGCCGTGTTCGATCGTCGACAAGCTGCTCCACGATTTGTCATTCGGCCGTCATCGCAGTTCTGCTATGAAGGCCAAAGCGTTAAATTCTATTGCCGATGCATTGCGATCGCCACACCCACACTTACTTGGTCACACAATAATATTGAACTGAGACAGAGCGTTAAGTTCATGAAACGGTATGCTGGAGACGACTATTACTTTATTATTAATCGAGTGAAACTTGATGATCGTGGTGAATATATAATACGAGCCGAAAACCACTATGGTTCCAGAGAAGAAGTTGTTTTCCTCAATGTACATCCACTGCCAAAAGAACAACCAAGATATCGAACCGAATCAACACCTGTTCGCCGGCGTGAACCCTTGCCTTACACATTCTGGCAGGAGGAATCCGAGTCGGCGCCCAGTTTTACATTCCTACTACGTCCACGCGTCATGCAAGCCCGTGACACATGTAAGCTTCTCTGTTGTCTAAGTGGCAAGCCAGTTCCCACTGTTAAATGGTACAAGGACGGTCGTGAGCTGAATAAATATGAGTACGCTATGACCCACTCAGACGGTGTTGTCACAATGGAAATAATTGATTGCAAGCCCTCAGACTCTGGCAAATACACCTGCAAGGCAACAAATTGTCATGGAACAGATGAGACATCGTGCGTCGTAATTGTTGAAGGTAATTTTAATAAACTCACAAGTGAAATTCGAAGTTTTTGAATAGTACACCCAACTAGTACACAAGCAGAATAGACTTATTTTGTACTCAGATATATGTATGTCTGTAAATATGTATGTCAAATAGGCCCATACATATATATGGCACTGTTCAAGCATATAAGCATACTTTTTATACCATGAACCCATTAAAAATGGGTACAAGGGTATATTGTATTTGTGCAAAATCCAAATGTATTAACAGGCAGAAGGAAGCATCTCCGACCACATTAAGTATATATATTCTTGATCAGCATCAATAGCCGAGTCGATTTAGCCATGTCCGTCTGTCTGTCCGTCCGTCCGTATGTATGTATGAAGGCAAGGATCTCAGAACCTATAAGAGCTAGAGACTTGAAATTTTAGATGTAGATGCTCCCAGCTCCCGCGCAGATCGAGTTTGTTTCCGATAATCGATAACTTACTCCGTTTCCAAGCAATCGATAAAAATCGATATCGATATCCTGTTTTTTGGGAAATTTTGGTAAATAATAAGAGCTAGAGTCACCAAACTTGACATATAGCTTCTAAAATAGAATATATATATGCATTTGATGTTGGAAGAAGAGGGTTCAGGGTATCTCCTAGTCGGGAGTTCCCGACTAGAACCTCTTACTTGTTTTACATACATTTTCTGTTTACATTCATTTATTCTGTATACTGGATGGTCGTATAGCATTCCAGCACTCGTAGAATATACAAAAGTGCATATACAAACTTTTTGAATTTATCTATGAGAAATACTTTTTTTTTCACATATAAACTCCGTTATTCACAACATGATAACTATCTGCAGGAGAATGGGTTACGCCTGAGCAGGCAGAACTTGCACACAACTTCCTTTACTCAGGAGGTAATTTTTTAATAATAAACTCAACTAAACTTACTTTTAAGCATGCATCTCGTATACAATATGTTTGGGTAGTATTTTAACTGAATTGACATTATCCTGAATGGCATCTCAACCTCCTCTACTACTTATAACAAAAATTAATAATATAAATTGTTCCTGAAAAATCCTTTTCGAAACAAACTCAAAAATTGTCTGTAGTTGATTTTTAAAGATAGCCAAAATTTGATTGAATAGGCTTGCATGTATTCTACATTTGATAAATGTATTGTATATGTGATGTATGTATGCAATTCCACTATACCCAACAAGTTACTAAGCATGCATAAGTATTGAATTGAAGTTAAAGTTGAACGAGCGGTATCCTGAATGACGTCCCCTTATCCCAAAAAAATACATAATAAACATTATATTGTTAGATTTTCTTGCTTAAAACCTTATATATAACATACATATATATAATACATATCTCAATTCATATTTCCCGCAATAGATCGCAAGTATATAGAGCAGCACTTCAAGCCAACACCACCCCCGATTATAACAACCCGCCAGTTTACATCATCAGCTACTTCCAGCAACTCGCAGCAGACATCAAGCACTAGAACGACATCGGATGGCAAGGTAAATGAAAGCTAAGCTTTTTAATATTTTTGAATTCGATCAGTAATCGGACGCAATTTTTCAGACTGTCATCACCAATTCAAGTTCCTCAACACAGAATAGCATTTCAAGCAAAAAGAAATATGCGGCTAGTAGCTTACAGGCACCCGGCAGCCCATCACGATCTCGTAGTGCCACCAAAGAGCTGATACGTACGTACCTTAAGTTAGCAAGATAAAATAGATATAATAATATGCATTTTATTATTGCACACAGTACCTCCCGACGATTCCTTAATGTGTAAACCGGAGTTTACAAAGCCACTTCATGATTTGACAATACGCGATGGCGAGCAGTTGCTGTTGACTTGCCACGTAAAAGGCGATCCGGAACCACAAATAACGTGGTCCAAGAATGGCAAATCGATATCCTCGTCCGAAATAATGGATCTTAAATACAAAAACGGCATCGCAACGCTCACTATTCATGAAGTCTTCCCCGAAGATGAAGGAGTCTTTTCATGCACGGCAACAAACTCGATTAGCTCAGTCGAAACAAAGTGCAAGCTAACAATTAAACGTAAGTGTTTCTTTCTTTCTTTCGGTTTTTGGAATTCAGTTTTAATTCATATTTTTTTTGTATATCCATTCAATTTTCAATCAGCTTTGGATAAGCTGTCAAGCAAACGTATCCCAACTGGCAGTGACAAGCCACCAAAAATAGTTAGCCACTTGGAATCAAGATTTGTAAAGGACGGGGATGCGGTAACATTGGCTTGTCGCATTATTGGCGCTGACCATTTTGATGTCGTTTGGCTGCACAATAATAAGGAAATAAAGCCAAGCAAGGACTTCCAATATTCGAATGAGGCAAATATCTATCGTCTACAAATCGCCGAAATCTTTCCCGAAGACGGCGGCACCTATACATGCGAGGCCTTTAACGACGCTGGCGAATCGTTCAGTACTTGTACAATTAATGTCAATGTACCTGGAGACGAACCCAAGGTGCCGACATTTGTTAAATTCCCAGTTTCCGTTTCGGTTACAGAGGGAGAAAACGCCACTTTCGAATGTGAATCCGATGGCGAGCTGATTAACTTGGATTGGCTGAAGGACGGAAAACCCATAGATGAAGCACGCTCCCGATACTCATTTACTAAGGATGGCAATCGCTATAAGTTCGCAGTAAATAAATGTACCTTAGATGATGTGGGGCAATATCAGGCAAAGGCTGTGTCCAAAAAGGGTGAAAGCTTGTGTGCATTTTCGGTAAATGTCTTGAGCTCCGAGGCCTAAGCTACGTTTAACTTTGAAAATTTACGAACATCATCATAATATATACCCATACAAATTCTATTCAGAATTGTGTGCAAAAAACGAAAAAAAAAAAAATAATCATAATAAATATTAGACTGGTCATCAAATATATATCATCTTATAAGTATTCATTCTTCGCACACGCACATGCATATATATTTATTTTTGAAAATTGAAGAGCAACAAACACTTGGGAGTGCAGGAAATGTAATACTAGCAGAGATAGTAATTTTAGCTCTCTTATGATCGTATATTACCTAACTATTACATATATGTACTTTAGAGATAAACGAAATTCTTCTGTTGCCAAACATACTTACACATAAGCAAAATGTACAATATTTTATAATTTTTACAATTGTATCCATTTATTTACGTTCATTTATAATGTATGTGTGCACTGTTTTTATTTGGCATTTTGATAAACTCACTGACAAACAGTTAACTGAAACAGCTAACCAACTGACCAACTGTCAACTGTGCCACTTTATTGACTGCTGGCATCCTCACTGAACATCTACAAATACACAAAAGTCATTCAAGTGGCCCAGTTTCGGTTCGGTTTGTATTCGGCTGCATCATACGACTTGCGATAGACCTCACCTATATACACATACATACATATTGTGCGAAGTACTTGCAAAAAATAAATCTGATTCTTGAACTATGTATGTGAATTCGTGGTATATTTATGGCTATTGACCCAAAAATATGACATTTAAAATCAAATTTTCTAAATCGAAATAAACGACAAAATGCAATGAATAATGAAAAAGTGTGTTATTTATTGACAACATTTACATATTCTGTTAGCCCAATCTTAGGGATAGATTTGATATACGCAAAAACATATATTTATCCAAGAACATAAGTATATTAGTCTATGCAATGCTAAGAAGAAGTAGGAAGGGCGCCGCCAAGGCTCGAACCGATATAGAGAGTATAGAGCATCTCTTAGTCAGACACTACCTTTTTACATAGAACCAAATCTTTTAATATTAACCAAGAATCATATAAATTGCAGTTTGACAACAAAAAACTTCCCTGTCCAGAAGAATATTAATTTAAAGTAATATTATAAAAGGGTCGACTAAAAGTAAGATTTAAACTTAGAGCGAAATACAAAAAGATTTGAAACGAATGCTTAGTATATATTAAAAAGGAATATTATGGCTTTGATCACACTCTCTTTTTTTTAAATTAGTTTTACGTTCCTAGAGAGTTTTAATTCATGATAAATTTAAAATAATAATAATTAAAATAAGTTATGCCACTTACGTATATTCCATCTCAAAAAGCGTTTCAGATTATGTAGAGAGACGAAAAAAACAAAATTGCACAAAACGACACAAGAAAAATAAAAAAAAAAAACACTTTTCATATTTGGCTGAGCTACTCTCTTTTTTCACACTTTAAAAACATGCTCTCATGACCAACATAGCGAGCAACGGAAAGAAAAAAGATAACGGGATAATTGAAAAAGAAATAACCGATTGAACATTTTTATGCGGTGTTCGTTAGCTTACACAAATTTAGAATTTAAGACACTTTTCAAACGAATTAAGATACATATTTTGTTCCTTACACGGTACCACACAATATGCAAATATTATTTTTGTAGCCCAGCAAATAAAATAATCACACACACGAAAAATATGCTGTTTCGACGTCTGCTGCTGCGTTGCGAAGTAATACTAATACTAACAGCGAATAAATTGATCTCCGGAGGGACTGGGTGGGTTTTGCACGCATATTGGGCGAATTAAATGGTTAACGGTTTTCGGCAGCAATTTAGTCTGCGTTTATTTCGCCTGGTGCTAAATTTAGATTGGTACTAAATTTAGCCTGGTACTAAGTTTTATTCAAGTACTAATTTTTAATCTAGTATTAAGTTTTGAGCTCTTACAACGTGCCAATCCTGTAATTAACCTGGAATGCGAATCTTCCTCAGACTCTAAAAAAAATAAAGGAAAACAACCTTGGCCAATAAACCGCTTTTGGGTTTGGCTCTTTTTCCACTTTTCCTTAACTTGCACCGACTCATAGATAGCGCTAGAAAGAGATGCTGTAGTGAAAGAGAAAATTTGTTGTATATATACATTTATAAAAATATAATTATAAATTACAAAAACAAAAAATGTTCTTTTTCACTACAGCTTCTGTCTTCCTAATAGTAAATATGTCGTGTAAGCCTCTGATAAGCTATGATGAGCTTAAATCACGTTGGTAGTAAGCAAATCTGATATATTGTGTAGTTTAATTTATGAATTATTAAAACCTTAAATTTTTGTGCAGCCAACTATACCACGATGAATGCATGAAAAATTGTAAGGGAAACTATTTTTTCAAACAATCTGAAACGATTGCATTGACTTAACCAGAAAAACATCAGCGTAAAACTAATTTATTTACATTTCATGTACATTTCACTTCTATCACATATACATAATAGGCATATGTAAATTAAAAAAAAAATAAGATGCGAAAAATTATCAACATTAGAATGTAACAAAATATATTTTATGTTCACTAAATTATGCAAAACTGTAGCAAAATCTTGTTTTAGCTATATTCATTTTTGTTTGAAAACAATGAACAAAATTATTAATTATTATTAATCGAGTCAACAAAAAAAGTACAGAATGATAGTGACTCGCTCTTAAATTAATTGATTTCAAAGTTGATTCACATATTTATATTAAATGGTAGGGCCAGCAGAAAATACCTATTACAATTTTACTTTCGAATCATCTCAAGCATATCTATTGTGTTCTTCAATTGTATTGGTATTAAAACCTCCTATCACACAGTTTAATTTTATAATCCAAACGCTACAGATGCTACAGACTTACCAAATAATAAAAGGTTTAATTATTCGGTTATACATGATTACACGCACATCCACATATATTGTCATATTCAAATTATTTATTCAAGCACAACGTATGGCAAAACGATCAATGGTTCATTATTATAGGATTGAAGCTGAAGAACTTCGTGCCATTCCTTGAACTGTTGGATTTGAGTTGTGTCCACGCCGTATTTACTGGGAGCGTCGTCGACAACAGCTCGAATGCCAGTTCTATACTCAATAGCCTGCTGCGATAGCATTAACTCAGACGAGAATTCCGTATAAATTTGATTAAAATGTTCTGTTTTTTCCAACGATTGCGAAGATAAATTATTAATGACACATTGCTTTCCATTGTCATCATTATTGATGGGCTTTACAGAACCTAGACTATGTGATTTAATTACACTTATGTTATTGTTATTATAGCATACATTGACATCATCACAATTTTGAATTTGAAGTAGTTCTAACGATGGCTCCTCGATGGCCTTCTCGTTTACCTCATCCGCCGAAGCTTTTAACTGATGATCATTATCAATGAAATTGAACGAGGGCAGCATACCATTGTTATGTAATGGTAATTCATCTTGCTTGTTTAGCTTTGGATCATTCAGTTCATCATGTTGATTGCTAAATTCACCAATATTTAATGATTCATCACTATCTGAATATAAGTACAGGTCCTCTTGGTCATCAATATTTTTAGCTGCAGTATTCGGGTCAGTCTCATTCTTTAATTTATGTTTTTTTGAAAAGGCAATTTGACAGTTTTCAGTGTCCTCAGACCACGCTGAGTGTCGCTTTCGCTCTCGTTTGCTTTTCTCTTCTGGATCGCTGTCATCCTCATCATTTGATGTGCAACTGCTACTACTACTACTACTGCTGCTGCTATAATTAACAATTCGTTCTTTTCGCCCCGCGCCGTCCTGTCTACATAATTCATTTGCGAAAAATAATTTTCGATGTGTTTTTACCAACCTTTGGGTACTTCGAGTAACATTATTAAATAAATGGTTTAGTTCTATATCTATGGTTTCCTTCGGGCATATTAAATGTCGAGGGCGCCGATATTGAAGACGATGACGACGACGACAATATCGGTAACTTGTTTTCAAATTATTGTGGCAGGTGTGTGACGTCAGGGACGGTCTGTCCAGGTCTAATCTATGCAATTCATCGGTACAGAATGCCATCTGTTCCATAGAGAATTTTGGCTGATAATCGCCCATTATTTCAGTTTCGGGATATTCAATGTTGCTATCGGTATTAGTTGTTGTAAAGTGGGCATTCTTAAAAGTGTGAGCTTCAAGGGTACCGGCAACACAAGCGCTTGCCTGACCCACATTCGGAGAGATTGCTGATACTGAATTAACTGGAGAATTAATTTTACTGGGTGTTTTCTTTATTGTCAACACTATGTGATTGTTAGCCACACCAACCATAGGCCTTTGCACGATTGCATATTCTTCATCATTGCTATTTTCATATTCGTTTTCCAAATGTCCATCGTCGTCCGCCGCAATGCTATCGATTGTAGTTGAATGACTTCTGTTCGACTCTTGTTCATCATCGCTTGCAGCTAGACCTTTCCGAGAGTAGCCAGAAGTATCGTATCCACCTTCTGGGTCGCTTACTTCGCTTCGAGTTTCACCGTCTACCTCGTCCTCATGCTCGTCATCGCTGCTACTTATGCGTGATATCTGTCTTTCAGTGGCGACGTTCCCGTTAATAGCAATTTTAATGCGTTTAATAAGTGGTTTTTCGTCTATTGATGGATTAGCAATATGTTTACCAAGGTCCTTGCCATCGTTACTTTTCGCATGCCTTGCTTTTCTGCGCTTTTTCCTATTCCTTTCGACATTACGTTCCGATTGCGATTGCTCTGAGGTTAGCGATAGATTCCTTTGATTTCTTAGTTTTTCATTTATTGAGTCTTGTGTTAATTGTAAGCTGGAATTACTACAGCTGCTGTCGCGTCTGCAGCGAATGGCTTTTCGATTATCCAATCCATCGATTGTTGGCTCACTGTTTACCTGATCATCTGCGATACTTTCGCGACCTTCATTATTATTTACCAACTTCAGCAAATTGAAACTAAGAGTGGCATTATTATTCATTAAAGTGCCATCGTCAGTAGATCGTGTTTGCACTTGGTTTTCCCCGCTATTACCATCTGCATCGACTTCAACTCTTAGCGGACTGGGGCTTCTTTTACTTTTTTCAAAATAATTAATAACTATTTCAGGCTCTTCCAGTTTGATTATCGTATCGACACTTTTAACTGTGTACAATGCTTTCGTTTTATCCTTGAGCCGTTTTGCTGCCAGTCGACAAGTTGGTAAACATTTGGCAACACCCAAAAATGGTGGTATAAACGATTTAAAACTTTTCGATTTCCAATTTCTATCGACTTTAAGATAGCTTAGATCCTTACGTATACGTTCATATGTGAGCGAGCCATATTTTGGAACAACGTCGGCGCCATCGGTTACTGTATATGAATCCAATGACTGTAGAAATTTCGTTATTGTTGTCGTTAAAACAATAGAGGAATCAATGCTATTCCAATTGCCGTTAATGTTTGGTATGTAATAGTTGTGCAATGCATTTATATGAAAATTGGTAACATCATTCGTTTGCACATCAAACCTTTGTTTTGCAACGCAGTCAGGGTCTTCATGTACAGTGTAAACAGAAATTGGTTCTAACACTATATTGCTAGCTTCTTGATCTAGATAACTGTCACTGACAGCTTTTAAGTCTTTATTATTTTCTTCAGTTTGCGAGCTAACTGTGTTACTCGATTTAATATAATCATTATCC